ATGCCCTTATACAGGTAGTTCATGACCCATTTCTCCCATTCTGTAAAGCGACAATGCAAACGGTTTCAAAAATATTATACGCCTTAAAGCAGCATGCCTCCGGAGTCATGCTTATATTCAAAAACATTTTGAAAATGTATTTGAATGTGTAATATTGTGAAGTAACCAGAAGGAAGCAATTTACACATTATCAATGGCACTTACAAACCACGTAAGTTACTAAAAAGTGGTAAACATATGCATAAATAGCCTTTACTGCATTAGTAACGCAGTAGAAATATAGTTGTAAATACTGAAAAAAATACTTGAATCTTGAAACTTTTTACTTTTCCTTACATCTTAGTACATTTTTTCTCAAGTTTGATTTAATTAAAATATTTTGACTCATCTGGAGGCATGTAGCTCTAAAATCGATTTGCATGACTTGCTAATGAACGTGCATTGCTTGCCCAAAGCCCATTGACTAAAGCTTAGATATTTGTTGCAAAGCATTATCTTGTGGACATATACCAATTTCATTCAATTCTTGACTCGCCCCGTTCCTGGTCTTTTTTCACATTTCTGAACCATATACTTTATGAAATCTTCTCCATAATTGCAAAGACTAAGGCTTAGACATTGTGCGGTGTTGCATCTTATCACGGATCACTACTAAGTTTGTTAAAATAATGCCATGTAGTCAAAAATTTAAGGGGAGCGGTGGCCTAGTTGTTAAGGTGTCTGTCTCTCAACCCAGAGATGATGGGTTCGAGCCCTATTCGGGTCACGACCATTATGACACCAGTACTGGTTGATTCCAGGAAGCGGGATCGAAAGTGATTTATATAAGCTGCAAGAACTTGTTTTGCAAAATTTGCGCGCCCCGACACACACTTGATTTTTACATTGTTTCCTATAGGAAACCATCTCCAAAACTCCAAAGGCATGAAATTAGATAATTAATTTGTGTAATGATATTGTATGATAGAGCTCGATAACGTTTGTTCAAATTAAATTATATAAGGAGTTAACCCTTTATTGCACTAAGGCGGCGAATTGTGTGCAGTGTTTAATTTTCCAACATTGGCATTGTTATGAAAGACAATGGTGACATCATATTTATGTTAATACTTTCAGAACGAGTTAAACAGATTAAAAAGATGCAGTAAAGCCGGTAGGTCTAAAGAAAATGGTATAATTCATTGAAATTGCTATGGTAAGAATTTGAGTGAGTATTTTGACCGAGGTTAAAAATGTGGCTCAAAACCCTTGCAATCTTGACCAAATGGCAATCGTGTGTGGTTTTATTGAATATTGAAATGTTCAGCTTTATTTTGTGTTAGATAAAAAAAGTCATTGAAAGCATTTCTATGTTACTTATTACTTTTTTCATAAACTCAATTTAGTCAAAGCTACAGTATAGCTACATGTGTTGGAGCGCATGATCGAAACAGAAATGAGCCGCGTCATGACAAAACCAACAGACCAGCATGGATCCAGACCAGCCTGCGCATCCGCGCAGTCTGATCAGAATCCATGCTGTTTGCTTATCAACTCTATTTCAAGTGGAGAAACTGACAGCGAACAGCATGGGTCCTGATCAAACTGCGCGGATGCGCAGGCTGGTCTGGATCCATGCTGGTCGCAAACGCATTATGTTGGTTTTATCATGGCGCGGCTCAAATATTTATTGTTTCATCGTATAATTGCATGTTCAGCGCTACTTTCGTATACATAGAGGATATTCAAGTTTTTTCTGTAAATACATGTTTTACTTTCATCAAGAGGTATGAAAATAAATATTTCGAGTGAAATATGTTAATTTTCATGGCACAAGATAAAAATAAATCATGTGTTTACAGAAAAAACTTGAATTTTCTGTTTATTATATACATTTTCCACTTTTTTGACATAACAATTTGAAAGCCTTTCCCTTAAATGTTGCGTACTGGCAGAATTGAAAAGAAAGTAGTCCCTCAAGACACCAGTGAAAATACGGAAAATATGTTTCACTGCAGTGAAAAATAATTTTTTACAGTGAAAATGCGGAAAATGAAAATAAGCATTTTATTTCATCAATATATCTCAATATTTCATCTATAAGTATATTATAAAATCCATTACTTAAACATTACTAAACGTACATATGACATTTCTAAGGAATTTAAAAATAAGATTTCTGAGGCATAATTTGCATCTTAATTGGCTTGTTTAATATTTCTTTTTTAAAACCAGAAAAACTGACCTAAGTTCTTCTATTTAGTTTCACAAATAACTTTCGACATGGCATAAACTAAAATTGTCGATAAAATGTTTACGTTTTCTGTTTTCAGAATTTAACAGTTTGACCCACGTCACAAATTAGGAGAAACCTCGGAAAAGTAAAAGATACACAATAGACACGATGAGATCAGCAGAACATTTCATCTTTATAAGTACATGTATACAATACACATGTTCTAGAAATGATATCACGTTATCAAACTTATCCAGATAAACTCTAACTGCATGATATAAAGTACAGTTATCCTTAAATTTAAAATGTGTTCCGTTTTCTTTGTAAATTTTATCGTCATTCTCTGTTGTTTTTTCTTTTTTTTTGTTGTTGTTTTTTTCATTGTCTCATTTGATGAGATTACTGATTAAATAAATCATATGAGGTGTAAAAACACGTTGATGTATGGCGTTACTTGAATGACATATACACTTGTCACCGATTCGCGGAAAATCGTGACAGATGCTTATATTTAACCGATTGTATAATGTGTTTGACAACGCAAAATCGAATTTTTTTTGACGTGCGCTGGTTTGCGGTGTGTGGTGATGTTGGTAGTTTTCACTCGGGATCACGGCAGTAAGCCAAATTGAATTCATCAGAGCACAGTTCAACCATCGCATCGCTGTTTTGCAAAGTTCGAATTTTTAATTAGCAAAAAAAGTGTCATGACGTATTTCCCACAAAATTTGCCATGTGATAATAAAGATAATAATAACAGTGTTTTCGAAAATACAAATAGTGCGAAAACACAATTAGTGCGTTCAGCCCAATAACAAGGCCATTATGAAAACACTTAATTATTAACATTATAGTATAAGTTCTGGACATAGAATATTGACAGGTGTTCCTGCTAATTATAAAGGACGAAATGAATGATATCATTGCCTAAATGCCCAAGGGGGGGGTTTTTTAAATTGAAAAATTTGATCCCAGATTTTGTGCTGAAAACATCTATATTTTAAAAATTTTGAAAACCCATGCCATAAATGTTGAAATTTTGTTTGAAAGGGGTGGAAAATATTAAATTTTTAACACAGGGCATAATTTTGGGATCGCGCTATGAAAAAATCTTTGTATTATGCAAAATTTTGGGACAAACCTTGAATCATACCAATTATAATACTTTCAATCTATGATCAACGTTCATCACTTTTGTGAAATATATATACATGTACATGTATAAGAACAATAAGTACTGTGCTGCTGCCTGTGTAAAACAAACAGGTCATCTTGTTGTTTTCCTTGAGAAGTCCATATAAAATATCTGTGCACAGTAGAACTAAATAAGCTAGCTAACAATATAGCAAGTTGCAATGGGATACAGCCTCATCATCCGCCAGGTTATCTTGAATATTGCTGTCAGATGTACATGTATGTAACTTAAAATCTCCTCTCAAACAGAAGAAGGAAAATTAAGGAAATGTAATTTTGTCAGTACTTTATTATACATGATACTCCTGAGACAGTTAAATGGAGTTAAAAAATACTAAAAACAAATAAGAATAAAGTATAAAAAATTAAAAATGAACACACTTCTCATTTGAGCCATGTCACGACTAAACCAACATAGTGTGTTTGCGACCAGCATGGATCCAGACCAGCCTGCGCATCCGCGCAGTCTGATCAGGATCCATGCTGTTCGCAAACCCACTATGTTGGTTTTGTCATGACGCGGCTCATTTCAGTTATTAATTACAGTTCTATACAAAAGACTTTTATTTTCAGAGCTTTGAAACTCCATTGAATACAGGACAAGTCATCAAAAACAAATACTAGTAGTATTAATGGCAATCTTTCACAATTGTAAAATTAATCAAGTCAAGCAAAATACGTGTAAAACAGAAAAAAAAATAAACGTAAACCATACACTTCTATACATAATTATGTCCAGTGAAACCTGTCAGTAAAATATAACTTGTCTGGTTAAAAATGCAAAATTATACTGAAGATCCAAAGTTGTAGGCAATAGATTAAAAAATCAAAACTAAAATATGTGGTGAAGTTAAAGGTTTTAAAAAGATATAATATTCAATGAAAATCCTTATTTAAAGGCCTATTATGGTTCAGAAATGCTAACACTTTTATTCCTCAAAATCTTAAAACATTGTAAAACACATGTTTGAAATTTCTAATGAATTAAAAAAAAAGGGTTTAAATTTTTGAAAGGGATAATGTGCCTTTAATTCAATTTAAAGGGAAAAGCGTAATCCCCGTCAATATCAAAGCAAACATTAAAAATGTATTTCAGTCTATAAAAGATTATTTTTTTAAAACACATTTTGGGATTTTTAAAAATATAAAATATGAAACCCTAGTGCCCCAAAAAACCTCATAAAAATGAAGGGACCGGGCACAAAAGGCGGGTTTTCATAACGATTAAAACATACTGACCCCCAAAATCACTGACAAGTATAAACTATAGAACATTTATTCCTTAGAAACAGTTGTGTTAAGTTGTTGGCTTTTTTTGGCATTGATTCAAAGGTAGTTTATGTTCTATATTCTGGTTATTGGTGGGGAACAATATCGTCACCTCAGTGCATTAACGTGTTAAGTCCTTCTTAATTTGATAGGAGATAACCAGTTACTGCACTAAGTGGACAATATACTTGTTCCAAATGTTGCTTTAAAAGTTTTTTTTACTAATCCTAGTATTAACAGTACATAAAATCAGCTAAGAATAAACTAAAAGACCTTTGAAGGATGCTGTATGCAAAGTTTATAGGTAATTGAATACAAAACAGTGAACAGCAGTGAAACATTAGACCGGCAGTAAAGCATTCTACAGATATGCAGGAGAATAACCAAGTTTGAGGATTTATCCAGTGATTTAAACTTTTTTTATCTTTATCTCTAAAGATTCCATTTTGCACATTGGAAAAGTTCCAGAAAAAAAGACCATACAAAAAGCAAAATATTTGTTTTTGAGGAGTCAGTCTTGATGTTAAAAGGTCGGATGCCAGATTATCCACCTTATTTTGCAAGCTTAAGGCTGCAAGCACTTTGGTTTGAGACTACCAGAAATAATGGGTCCAAGGGATAATAAAAAGAATATATTTTGAAATGAAACAAATGATTAACACATGCATAGAATTTCTTTCATAAGGAATGAAAAACTCATTTGAAACTCATTTTTCACCTTTTAAAACATAAAACAATAACAACAAAAGAAAAATAAGAGATGTATATATATAACATGCATGTCCACCTCATCAGCAAGTCAGAGGTTGCTGGGAAACTGTTTTTGCATACAAGGCCTTTGAGCCCTCAACCCAAAAATCAAAAGGGGTCATGTATTGACCACGGCCAATACGTCTTTGAAATTTAAGTGCCCTGAAAATCAATATGGGTCATGTTCTTCCCAAGAACAATATATCTATGAAGTTTTAGAGTTGGGACAATGCGTTCTCAAGTTATTTATCGGAAACAACGTGTGACAGAATGACCAACCAACCAACATCAAGCTGCAAAAAAATATGTCCCCTCTTTTTCAACTCATAATAACCTATAAGCTTGTAACTTCTTTTGCATTAGAAGTATAAAGTAAAATGTTTTTTTACCTAGATTTAATATCTCCTGTGATAGATATTTTTGTAGATTTATATATCAATATATATCATAAAATTTAATAATGAAAAATCACTCAGCCAAAAATACTTAGTATAATATAAGAAAAATCACACATACTGATTTCAAAAGAAATTACCCACTGCCCAACCCACCCAAATTTATTAATTTCACATGCTTTAAAATATGTTACAAAGTAATATGTTATTGTATGTCCCAGACTTAACAGACTGTGCACTTAAGTGAATCAATTAATTCAATAAGAATGTACCAAATTAAAAAATGGAATGTTGCACATAACAAAATGACCTAATGAAAATTACTTCTCCTCTCTTAGTACTTTCAATATCATTTGTCTTTCTATTAGCATTTTAGAATGGAACTAAATATCAACTTTTCTTGCATTGTAGTAGAATAATATATGGTTTTTTTAATTCAAATGCTTTTTTATCACACACATTTGCTGATTTTGCGACTCCGTAAAAATGGTATTGCACGGCCGTGCATATATTCTGATGTGACGTCATTAGCATTATACAAACATAGTGTAAAGACGCGCTTAACATTGTGTTATACTATAGGCACGTCAATGAAAAATCACTCTTTTTTTCACTTTAAACGATCTTTATTTTGGGTATGTGACAAATAGAATATTAAATTACTGAATTTATTGAGCTCGTTGAATAAAATAATATTATGCTCGCCAGAGGCTCGTATAATATAATTTTATTCAACTTGTGCAATAAATTTAGTATTGAACTTCCACACATTCAATATCCTCTATTTAATTAATCTTTCAGGCATTTGAGATCATTACACTGCTCCTGATTTTGAATTTTGCATTTTAAAAACACTCTAAATTAAGATCTATTCATTTTATAAAAAAACAAGTATCTATTACAATGTAAACTAACTAAATATTTACACAAATTATGGATTCTTACAACTTGCAACAATACATTTATATACATATACTTAAAATACATAAAATAACATAGTCATTGGGACAGCAAGCAGCATTATTCTAAGTCCTTGGTAGGATAGAAAGTTTATTATATAGAAATGGTTTCACTTATTGTAAAGATAAATTTTGCATGATAACCTTAAAGTCCTTAAACAGTAATTTTCTATTTTTTCTATGTCCATAAAAGGCTATTATTCTGTAAAAATTCACAAAATAGTTAATGGTCAAAGACCTTTAATCCTTTAAAACATCATGTGATGTTTCTAGTTAATAGCTGTAAGGTATGGATAGGCTGCATCCAAAATCTTGTGACAAAACTGGTTTGCGTAGATAAGCTGCCAATTTTAATTGAGCCATTAACCTGCAGAATGTGTGTAACAATGTTGCCCTTCTTTTTATTTTAAACAATTCATTTGAAAATTAAGGGATTTCAACATCAAAATACAGAAATTAGGCTACCAACATTATAGAACTTGGTTAGACTGCATGAATGACTGAATGTACAGGCTGTCCTGGCTATATACTGATGACAAAGGCGAATCAGTTTCAGTTCCGGCAGGTTAAAGATAAACTTAAATACTGCAAATCATGAAAGACTACATATCATAAAGCTTACACTACATGTATCTAAAACAAGCAAATGCATTGTTCAGAACTGTTACCATTTCATTTTCGTACATGAAAGTTTAACCATACATTTCACATTCAAAACTTAACTTGCTCTGTACACAACTTGTTCTTTTCTCCATTTGTTCTCTATATTACATCATAGTACATGTGTACTATCAGTTTGTGAAACAAGGAGAATAACTCTAAATACTTTTCAGCAGACTATCTTGCACTCTCTCATTGAAGAGGTCAATCTATCAAAGATAAACTGTACGCTAAGATGGCATTATCCAAGTATCTGTAGGACTGCTATCATCTACCAATATGACCTATGTGACCCTGAAATGTTAATAATATTGACCTGCATAAATAAGTTACAGACAAAAATGTTTTGGTAAATCAATATCTAAAGGTCCATTAAGCCTAAAAAAATACTATCATTTTCATTTTATAAAAGCTTTTTATTGTTAGTGCTGTATTACAGTTTCCTAATCATTACTCATTGGCCATATAGCTAAGCCTTTATTTGTATCATTTATAGGGTAACGGCTATTCATACAATTGTAGTGGTTTTGTTGTATGGAAGTCGAATGCAACTTAGTTTACATTTTACCTACCACACATTATTCAATATTCAGCACTATCTATCTTCAGGTGCTCAGCATCTCACATGTTTAGGTCCTTGATAACAATTATTTCCTTACAGTTACAATTAATATTTTACTCCCAGTTAGTGAGTAGCAAATATATGCATAATGCAAGGCTGTTACCTTAGTTATCATAACACATCTCCATCATTGCATTATTATAGAACACAACTTAAACTATGTGAAGTCTGAAGATTTTGGATTTCTCTTAAAGTTCTAAGTGACTAAAACTTGAGTCCAGTTACAATGTACAAGCCAGAAGTTTAATCATCAACTAATGTCTTAAAATTAAACTAGAAATGTGTTGTCACGCCACGGATGCCCCCACATACAGCCAAAATTTCAGATGATATAATATATAGTTCCAAATTTGTTTGCACAAATTATTTTTTTCATTTTAAGTTCAAAGCCCTTAAAACTATCCAATGCTTAACACAAACCATCTGTATACAAAGTTCAAGGCACTGAAACTATTCAGTGTTAACCTTTTGTAAATTGCATATTGCATATTTGTAGCCAAAATAATGGCTACATACATTTCCACAAAAGTGTGAGTGCTGAACCTGAAAAAATCAAATTTTTTCCAACATTCAAGAAAGATAACTTTGTCCAAAATCATTGAACCACGACCAAATTCAAACATGAACTGCTTAGTCCCAAGATGTATCTATATGTCAAATTTGAGTTGAATGTGTACAATTATTGGGGAGATAATGAACGGAAACTTAACATTTCTGATTATTTTTCAAAGTTAAAGAGGGATAACTCTGTCAGCTATCATGAAATCATGACCATATTTGAAATTGACCAATGCATTCTTATGAAATATCCATATCTTTAATTTGAGTTGAATATGTACAACTGTTGGGGAGATAATGAATGGGAACTGAAAATTTCCTTTTTTTCAAAGTTAAAGGGGCATAACTCTGCCAAAAATCATCGAACCATGACAAAATTCAAACATGACCTGCCCATTTCTTTGACGTATCCATGTGTGAAATTTGAGTTGAATGTGTAATACCCTAGAGGAGATAATGAACGGAAACTGAAAATTTCATATTATTTTCAAAGTGAAAGGGACACAACTCTGCCAAAAATCATCGAACCATGACCAAATTCAAACTTGACCTGAGCATTCCTTTGACATATCCATATGCTAAATTTGAGTTGAACATGTAACACTGTTGGGGAGATAATGAACAGAAACTGAAAATTTCATATTATTTTCAAATTGAAAGGGGCATAACTCTGCCAAAAATCATTGAACCATGACCAAATTCGAACTTGACCTGTATTTTCTCATGACATATCCATATGCCAAATTTAACTTGAATGTGTGCAACGGTTACTAAGATAATGAACGGAAACTGATGATGACGGAATGACGGAACAGGGTACATATAATGGCTGGGGCATAAAAAGCACACTTATATGTACTGACAAGTGATAATTGGAACTTATTTTCGTGTTTTGGGCCAAATAGGAATCATAGTATATTGGACATTAAATAGGAAATTGCTCTCTTGAAAAGAAATATATAAAATCTTACTGGCTCGCCTGCCTGGCATCTGACACAAACTGATGATTCCATATCACTGTTATTGTTGTCTCTGACCAATGTTCCATTTTGTAGACTGTGTCCATTTTGAATATTGTTCATCAAGCTTTGACAATGTTCAGTCTGCATACTGTTAGTTGTTTGTTGCAAACTGTTTCCATTTTCAAACCTCACCTGAACATGTGAATCATACCCATTTTGAAAATCTTCAAAAGCAATTTGGCCATTCTGTAAATAAATGTTGATTTTTTTTTAATTTTTCATATCAACTATTAAAGCTGCAAAAAACAATAGTTTAACTTCTTTTTCTTTCAAAACATTAATAGATAGTTATTTAAAAGCCTGTTATTTCTTAAATATGGAAAACAGATTAATTACAAACAAAATCTGACCATGGACAGCAAGCTCCACTTTAACCAGTGCTAGTTTAGTAAAAGCAAAGAAAAGAAGGGGGTTTAATGCTACATTGCTTGGCTGACTTTGCTATTCTTGATATTGAACAAGTATTTTAAAGGGACTCCCCTGAGGTTTTTTGACATGACGAAACTGGAAATAATTTTTCGAGATTAATGCTCAGTTCGATGTAGGTCTAGATCAGTAACTTGTGTGCAAAATTTTAGATCATTCGCTCTTGCGGTTAATCCAGGATAATTATTCAAATTGTGAAAAATGACCCAAATTGAAAAGCGTTTAAACGCTTTTAACTCAAATCGTATCAAAAGTAGCACAAAAATACGCTTTTCAGTTCATTTTTTAGTATATTTCTGAATTATTTTTTGCATGTCTTCCTGTATTACGTGCCCCAGCTGATCTGTGTAAAAAAATAAATTTTATGATTTTAGATTTTTGAACCTCAGTGGAGTTCCTTTAAATTTGAAGTGAATATCTTTGATAGTTTTTGAGAAAAGAAATTATTGTAAGTAAAAACAACAAAAAAACATAAAACTAAAACTGATTTTTGTTGTTCAATGTTGTCTACCCTTGAGAAATGCATTCCAAGTATGACAGTGAACAAGTATTTAAAGTTTAAAGGAAATACCAATATAGTTTTTGGGAAATGTACGAACAAGATACCCAAAACAAGAGCTGTCCGTAAGACAGCGCGCTCGACTTTTTTATTGCTTGCCAATAAAAAAAGTTTTTGCAGTAAAAGGCAATACAAGAATCTCTGTATTTTTAAAGTGAACAATGGCCATGAGCATTAAGATATTTAGTGAAGAATTATTTTACTGAATTGTGTGATACCCTTGAACACTGCAGCAAAGTTTGAAATGTTTAAGTCAAAAGAGGGCTGGTAAGAAAGAAAAAAAAACTTTTTTAGTGCTTGCCTATAATACAAAACATTGACAGTTAAGGGCCATAATTCAAATAAAATCTTTGACAGAATTACCTTCTCCTGGACATGTTTGGGAATCATGATTGTAAACAAGTATTCCAACTTTCAAATTAATATCTCAAACAGTTCAGTCAAAAAGTGGACTGGTACTAAAAACTTAACCAAGATTCTAAGTCGATAAAAGGCCTTAATTTTTAAAACAAATCCTTGACAGAGTTACCTTCTCTTGCGTACAGATGGGGGTAATGATGTGAAAAAGCATTAAAAGTTTCAAAGCAATATCTCAAAGGGTTAAGGCAATAAGTGGATTTTACCCATATTCAATGTATTTTCTAAGTCAAAAAGGGGCATAATTCTGTCAAAAACCTTGACAGAGTTATGTCCTCTTGTCTGTTGATGAAGGTCGTGATGGTAAACAAGTATGGTCAGTTTCAAAGCAATACCTCCAATGGTTTTGAAATAAAGTGAGGTGGTACAAAAAACTTAACCAAGCTCAATACACTTTCTAAGTCAAAAAAGGGCCATAATTCTGTCAAAAACCTTGACAGAGTTATGTACTCTTGTCTGTAGATGGAGGTTATGATGGTGAACAAGTATGGTAAGTTTCAAAGCCATACTTGTAATACTTCTGAAATAAAGTGGGGTGGTACGAAAAACTTAACCAAGGTGTGACGCCAACGCCGACGCCGACGCCGGGGCGAGTAGGATAGCTCCCCTTTTCATAGAAAAGTCGAGCTAAAAATCACAGTAGAAGAGCAAAAATAAATAATTAGGTTACCAACTTCTTTGGCATTCAAATTTTGATATTGAACAAGTATTTTAAGTTTGAAAAAATACCTTTTACATTTTTATTAAATTCTTTTTTTTATATTTATTTTTTCTTCTTTTTTTTGAGAAAGGGACCTTGGCAAAATATTCAGTATTAAAAGGGGCATTACTTTGCCAAAATTAATTTCAGAACTTTCAGCCCTTTAGGCATATTATCCCATTTTGATAGGAAACATGTACATCAAGCTTGAAGTGAATACCATTGGTAGTTTCTGAGAAAATATACCTTACAAAAGAAGGTTAACCAACGCAGACAAAAGGATAATGGAAATATCTTCACCTTTTTGTTTGAAAAGAGAAGCTAAAAATGAACAATTCTGTCAATTTTAAGCTAAACCAAATATTGAATAGAACAGATCACTTATGAAATCACTTTTTCTTCTTAAACAAAACTATACAGTAGCCAAAATATATTATGATCACTGTCAAATTAAAATTACATAACATGAATAATGATATAGCTTCATTCAATCTAAATAATTGTTACTCACAATCTTTATTTATAGAGTAAGTTGCAAGAACTCTTATGTAAAATATATAGACCTGGTAATGTACCTCTGCACAGTTTTCATATTCCATGTCTATATCTTCAGGGGATGTCATTAAGTGATGATCATTCTTCTTTAAGTACTCTGATGAAAAACACCGTTTTTTCTGAAAAATAAAAAAAAGTATGATTCTGCTGTAAGCTTGACAAAATGGCAGTTTAACTTCTTTTTTCAGCCCATTTTAGAACAAGACTAGTGTTAGATACATTGGGAGCTAATTTTATGAACAACGTATTTAATGCAAGTCTTGGGATAAACAGAAATAGGTAAGCAACAACACAAAATATTACATTAATAAAGCAATATTAACACTAATCCATACAGTATACAATGTATTTACTTGATTATTATTCATTTAAATAGGAAAGACTCAAAGAGTGAAAATTTGAATTCCCCCAATTTTATCATTATGTCATCCCATTGGTAAACTTGTTCTGTGGTTAACTTTTCACCATTATGATCAATGTGACCCATATTTTGGTCAACTCATCTTGAATGGGTCACTTTGTTGCCTTTTTTGGTCATTTTGTCACCATTTGACAGATATATTATATATGTCAGGGGGTATACAACCAAATGGTTTTAAATTGCTTATATTATGTAAGAATATTATTGATAAATTACATTGTTAATCCAAAATTAACTGAAATCTCTAAAAATTGAACAATTAATTAACAATGCCTTATCATTAAAAAAAATAACATGTGAATTGATTTAATCTTAAGAAGTGATATTTTTGTTTGCAATAATGCAATTTCTATTTTATTTTTTTTTGCATTTAAGGTGACATTTAAGCTTATAAGATTGCAAAAATTAACTTATTAAGTACAAATTGACTCCCTGGTATTTTCTCAATAATAATATTAATAACAGAAGTGACCAAAGATTGCTTTAGTTACTAAATAAATCTTGGTGTGAGAATCCACTATGATTAATTAACTGATTTGTGTTTCTTATTTAACAGATGATATTATATATTAATTTGAAAGCATACAGAACAAAAGCAGGTATATTGTCTTTAAGTGCAGATTATAGTATTATTGGGCAATCATGCAAAAATTAATAACAAAATTATAAAATTTACCATAATCAAGAAATTTAATGAAGGAGGTACATGTACATTTTTTTTTACCGACTTCACCGTTGATAGACTTTGCCTAATTTCACAGGTAATGTAACGATTCGCCACACTAACGATTCGCCACATAACAATTCGACACAGAGTAATAACGATTCGCCACAGTTAAATAACGATTCGCCACGTGTTCAAATACACCTGTTTTCAAATTGTTGATGGAAAACTTTTTTCCATTTTATATATCAATTGTTAATAACATAAATTAATTACACTGAATACAGCTTTTATTGAACAAAAAACACACGAAAACCAAATATTTTATTAACCAAATTACATAAAACATTTTATAACTTCGTTATTTGTATCAACTGGAAAAATATACTAACAACTTTTATAGAATAAAAACACATGAAAATAAATATTTTATTAACAAAATTACATAACACATTTTATAACTTCGTTATTTATATAAACTGGGAAAATACAAACTTTTATAGAATAACAAGAGGGCCATGATGGCCCTGAGGTCGCTCACCTGTATATAGCCCCCCCTCCCCCCGGGTCAATTTTTACCCAAGGGCTTTTATTTGAACAGACTTGGTAGACACCCATAAGAAGATGTTTCATGCTAAACATCTAAGTTCTAGCTCATTGGGTTTTTTAAAAGAAGATTTTTAAGTTTTTACTATACACATATAGTTAAAAACAATGACACCCCTGGGGCAGGGCCAGTTTTGACCCCCGGCTTTTATTTGAACAAACTTTGTAGATATTTACTTAAAGATGTTTCATGTATAATATCTAAACTCAAGCTATTTGGGTTTTTTCAAAAGAAATTTTTAAGTTTTTGCTATACACATATAAGGAAATCAATGACCCCCGGGGCAGGGCCAGTTTTGACCCCAGGGCTTTTATTTGAACATACTTGGTAGACACCCATTAGAACATGTTTCATGCTAAATATCTTAGCTCTAGCTCTTTGAGTTCTTTAAAAGAAGTTTTTATAAGTTTTTTACTATATGCATATAGGGAAAATCAATGACCCCCTGGGCGGGCCAATTTTGACCCCAGGGCTTTTATTTGAACAAACTTGGTAGACACTCATTAGAAGATGTTCATGCTAAATATCTTAGCTCTAGCTCTTTGGTTCTTTAAAAGAAGATTTTTTAAGTTTTTACTATATGCATATAGGGAAAATCTATGACCCCCTGGGACGGGGCCAATTTGACCCCAGGGCTTTTATTTGAACAAACTTGGTAGACATTCACTAGAAATGTTTCATGCCAAATATCTAAGCTCTAGCTCTTACGGTTCTTTAAAAGAAGATTTTTTAAGTTTTTACTATATGCATATAGGGAAAATCAATGACCCCCCGGGCGGGACCAATTTTGACCCCAGGGCTTTTATTTGAACAAAACTTGGTAGACACTCACTAGAAGATATTTCATGTCAAATATCTTAGCTCTAGCTCTTTGGGTTCTTTAAAAGAAGATTTTTTAAGTTTTTACTATATGCATATAGGGAAAATCTATGACCCCCTGGGGCAGGGCCAATTTTGACCTCATGGCTTTTATTTGAACAAACTTGGTAGACACTCATTAGAAGATGTTTCATGCTAAATATCTTAGCTCTAGCTCTTTGGGTTCTTTAAAAGAAGATTTTTTAAGTTTTTACTATATGCATATAGGGAAAATCAATGACCCCCTGGGCGGGACCAATTTTGGACCCCAGGGCTTTTATTTGAACAAACTTGGTAGACATTCACTAGAAGATGTTTCATGCCAAATATCTAAGCTCTAGCTTTTACAGTTCTTTAAAAGAAATTTTTTAATTTTTTACTATATGCAATAGGGAAAATCATGACCCCCGGGCCCGGGGGGCCAATTTTCCCCCACTTTTTTTGAAAAAAAACTTTAGACACTCACTAGAAATTTTTCATGCCAAATATTTACTCTACTTTTTGGTTCTTTAAAAAAATTTTTTAATTTTTTCTATAGCATATAGGGAAATCAAGACCCCCGGGGGGGGGCCCAATTTTTGACCCTGGGGTTTTATTGAAAAAATTTGGGAAACTCATTAGAAATTTTTCTCCCCAAATAATAAGCTCTAGCTTTTAGGTTTTCTTTAAAAAAAAGTTTTTAAAAATTTTTTCTTTGGGTTTCCGGGCCCCCAGATTCTGCATAAAAGGGAAATTTCTTTAAACAATTTTGAAAGCTTCATACAAAGAGTATTCCTGCCAATTTCATTAACTTTGGGCCTTGCTTCATGAAATTCCCTTAGAATTTTTAAAAATTGGACGGACAAGACGAGGGACCCTTTTGGGGGTTGGGCCATCCTAAAAGCTCACCTGCACTTTGTGCAAGGTGAGCTAAAAACACATGAAAATAAATATATTTTATTACCAAAATTACATCACACATTGTAGATGAGAAAAACTTCGTTATTCCAGGTACGTATATTAACATACGTACCTGGTTATTCATATAAACTGGAAAATTATACGAAAACAGCTTTTATTGAATAAAGAACACATGAAATTTTATTACCAAAATATACATTACACATTGTAATAAGTAAACTTCGTTATTTATATAAACTGAAAATTAAAAGAAAACAAAATGAAAAAATAAATATATTTTATTACCAAAATTACATTACACATTTAAGAATTAAGTTAATTATTTATATAACTAACATATTTTTATTACAAAATTTACATACATAAGCTTAATTGCGCATTGTTTTGAAATCTGCTCACATTGTCAGATAATTAAAGGATTATTTCGGCGTCAATTAAATATTTCTACAACAAGCTTAAGGTGATTGGCTTGTTAAAATTAAAGGTGTGACAAATGTTTTAGATATGCGTTCTTTAATCAATTATCGTTAATCAATTTTCGTAATGATCACATGTTTTTGCAATATTTTTTTATTAATATTTAACATATATATAATATATAAGTAAGTAAGTAAGTAAATTGTTTATTAAAGTGACATGTGTTATTTACAATATAATCATATACAAATATTTTAATAAAGGTATTTAAAACACCCGGCCTCATGGGCCTATTAGTCACTGTTGACATTTAATACAGTATCTATGTATAGTTCTCAAATATTAAACATAATAGTACAAGTTCAATTTCAAATATATGGACGATGTACATAGAATAGTATATTTTCACTTTCATAATTATCAAGTAAATTAAGCAATTAGATATATGAGTAATTGATGGAATTAAATATAAGTGATACACATATATATGTTCTGTGCAAATCGCTATGAGTATATAAGGCTTCGTCTAAACATAAAAGCTTTCACAATATATTTTGCTGTTTTTCTAGCATTTTCATTTACTTTTTTAAAAAGGTCAGTCTATCTTCTTTATTTTTATTAATATAGGATGGATCTGACAATAAATCTTCGAACACTTGCTGTCTTATATTATCATATTTTGTGCATTCTACGAGAAAATGAGTTTCATTTTCTATTTGTTCTTGGTCACAGAATGTACATATTCTCTGGTTTACATTTTCACCAATAAAACGTCCTGTTTCTACTCTTAAGGGTAAAATCCCACACCGAAACTGTGCTAACATCGAGCGTTCATTCTTCTCTAAATTTAATACTATGTATTGTTCGGTTTTAAAATTTGTTTTAAATAGCTTATATGTTCGTAGTTTTGGGCTATTTTGTACAGAGGTATACCATTGTTCGTTAAACAGACTTAATATTTTTTCATTTGCTAGTTTTAAATCAACTGGTCTCTTTTCTGTAAAATAGGTACTGAGACCCAACGATATCATTATTTGTTTAATATCGTTAGACCAATTACTTTGGCATATATTATAGTCTGCAGTGAAAACTTTTTTAGGTAGTCTTTGGTCGTCCATGTTCATTAATTTATTCCAATAGCGTAGCATATTTATCCACCTTCTGAATTTGCTTGGTAACCACCCGATATCCCCTGTAATGGCCGCTACGGGTGCGAATCTGTGTAATCCTAAAAAGTATCTTACAGCTCTATTTTGCACACTGTCTAATGTTTGATATTCTTTGTATCCCCATACACTTGAACAATAATCTAGCACTGGCACCACACAATTGTAGAACAATTTTTCGAATGATTTAAAACCAATACCTTTCGAATGTATTTTGTTAATAACTCCCCCTAAAGCCCTGCCTGCCGCCTTACTCAGTGTTTGACTGTGTGCGATATAGTCTGTATTTTCACTAAAGATTACACCTAGGTATTTATATTCACTAACAGTTTCCAAGGTGTTATTGCCTATATGGAAACTAAAATCTGACCTTGTACGTCTACCTTTACGAAAATGAATACATTTAGATTTCGATGAGTTGATAAGTACCCTCCACTTTTTACACCAAGTGTGTAAAGTATTTAACATAGTTTGCAAGTCGTCACTATTTTGTGCCGTAAAGACAATATCATCAGCGTTAAGAAGAAGTGAGATTTTTGTTTCTCCTATTGAAACACCAAGATCAAGGGAATTTATTTCTGCTACTAAATCGTTTATGAAGACGGCAAAAAGTGTTGGCGACAGCGAATTTCCCTGAACCACGCCTTTTTTACAGTCGAACCACTGAGTCATGATATTGTTGATACGTACACATGAAACTGTTTGTTCGTACATTGATTTTATTGCAGTGTAAATTTTTCCGTCTAAGCCCGACCGCAGGAGTTTATACAGAAGCATGTCTCTATCTACAAAGTCAAAGGCCTTTTTTAGGTCAATGAATGCGGCATAAGTGTTTTCATTATTTTTAATAATAGTGTTCAGTGTATACACATGATCTTCGCACGATCTGTTTTTACGAAATCCGTTCTGTTCCTCTGCAAGGCAGTCATTTTCTTCTAGATAAGAAGACACCCGTTGATTTATAAAAGAGCTGTACAGTTTACTTATATATATATAAATATTAATTGACATTTATGTTTATGATTAATTCAATATTTATTTCAACATATAATTACTTTCTTGTAAATGTACTCCTGTAATAATGTTACTTTGATAAATTGAAAAACCGCGATGGGGGCTTTAAGTTCATGTTACTTATATTAAGGAACATTATTAAATTATTGTCATTGTCAAATTATTAAAACAAAAGGAAAAAGTTTGTTGATAACTAAAAAAAATCATTGTTAGATCTATAATCATATACTGTGGCGAATCGTTATTTAACTGTGGCGAATCGTCATACTCTGTGGCGAATCGTTATGTGGCGAATCGTTAGTGTGGCGAATCGTTACTAATTCATTTCACATTATTTTGATGAAATTTTCTGATAGTAGTTTGACAAAAGGAAATAGGTGACCAGTATGGGGAATAGTTAATCAAGGACCAAGTAGAGCACGTGACGCGTTTACCAAATCGGGGTCGAGATGACTAAAGGGCGAGTTGACCTGGAATATTTTCAAAATAAATCACATCGCGAAATCACGTGAAAAATATCAAATTTCACAACATCTTTCATGTTCTAAAGAGCAATAACAAACCCATTTATTTTCAGATGAATTTGTTGTCGGAATGTCAAATTCGGAGAAAGGGAACGATCTTTTTTCTCTAGCCATTGCTGAACAACTTATTAAATTTTCATCGATTCGATTTTCTTCCGTTTGTTTTGAATAGTCTTAGTCAGTGAAATGCTTGACATCTTGAAAATCTAAGCGCCTGGTGACGTTGCAGGTAAAAATTATGTTATTTACAGAGTTTTCACGTCTTAATGGAGTTCGATATTAGAAATAAGCGAGGAAAACGTTTAAATATTACATTTTTTATATTTCTTATGAATTAGAACTCTCTGTTAAGTGATGGTAATAACTTATTTATGTTATACTAAACACTGATTAACTGTTGTGGTATTCGGATAGTTTTAGACGAACTCTTACACTCTGAGCACTGGAGCCGACACGGCTTATAAGCTACTCCTTGTCTGAATCCTTAAAACTTATTGATAATGCACTGTGTAAATGTCACTTATTTTAAATCTTCTACTTCAGCAGTTCCGGCCAAATTGAGTTTTGAATATAAAATTAAGATTAAATGTATAAAATGTTTTCACTAACTTGACTAAGAACAGTGTCTTTCAAATAGAATGGTCCGGAAACGCGCTATGTAAACCCTTCTCGCTACAATTAAACATGTCTTGGCAGAACTAGGTATAGATTGCTATATGCAAATACGTAAGTTTTCAAAAAAGGGCGAAAATTAAATACAAGAGCAAAAATGAAAATTCTATGACATGATGTTATTTAAAAAACTTTAAACTTGTGAAGAAAAGGATAAATATTTCCGAAAATAATGTTTTTTAAAGCCATATCTGTTGAAAAAACATAGATTGTTTGTTCAGAAAATTTGCTTGTGATTTTTATAATAGCTTCGTCTCAGTATATAATTTAACACATTGTTTGACACTAAAGGTATTAAATTAACTGTTAATTACCACAAGTCGGACCATTTTACATATGATTTATACAGTGAGATACTCAACCAGTTATCTTTACTCAAAAAACATATGATAAAAATACTTGTTTGCTAGCTAGTTCGGCTCCGAAACTGTGTATTGTCTCATTGGCCAATGCATCTTATTGGATAAGAGTTAAAGGAAACTATTCTTAAAATTTTTACAAGTTTTCCCCAAATATTAAGAATAGAAAGATAAAATTTAATGTCTGCATTTGAATAAACCTATTTAGTATAATCAACCAGGAATGTAAGCTTTATTTGTCCATTATCAAATAATACAAAATGAATCTAGGATGAAATTATTATTTGTTGATGAAGCTATCAGATTCATAATAATAGGTAAAAATAATCATTATTTTAAAGGAAGTTTAACTACATGTAAACATCATAATAAATGTCCTGTCAAAAACCTCACATGAGTGGCAACTATCTTTGCTTTTAAGTTCTTTTTACCTGGAATGACTTTTTAATAATCAATCAGAAGTTAAAAGCATATGTTTTTTTGCTGTCGTTTATAAACCATTGTTAGTTACATTTCAATATCTCTGGATTGAAAATATTAACAGCTTATGAGTGTTCAATATACAAAAATGAATTTTCAATAAAGGAATATCTCTGTGTATTACTTATTTGTTTGTGCTATTTCTTTGTCATTTTTACATTCTTAAAGGTTATAAAAGGATAATCGCTGTTATAAAATACAAATAAATATTTTTACAATATTTCAGATTATATGTGCACTTTTCACTTGCAAAGTCAATGTCAAGGTGGAACAATATTATACAGAACAAGTAAAACAAGCTTACATCAAAATTGGTGATAAGTCCATCTATACAGCTGTATGGAAACTTGGATAGAAACAGTGATATTGAAACTTTATATTGAATGGCCAGGCGCATACCTATTTTAAAATGGCTTATTTTTGTCACTGTGGTATATTCTGTTACGTTGACAGTGCTTTTTATGTCATCCAATCCAACTTTGACCCCATGTGCTCAGACGGCTGAAATTAGGTTCCAAGGCAACCATGAAACTACTTCCAGAAATAGCGCAACATTACGAGAATGCCCTTCTATAGGAGACAACAAGGAGTGGGGCCCTCATAAAATGGTGGTAATTGTCCCATTTAGAGATAGGTTAGAAGAGCTGTTGGAGTTTGCTCCACATCTGCAACAATACCTTGTCAGAAAACATGTTAGACATGAAATTATTGTTGTAAACCAGGTTGATTCTTTGAGGTAAATAAAGACTTTCATTCTTATTTTAAAGAAAATTTGGGGAAAAAATATATTTAAAAGAATGCAATTTAAATAGTTATGCTGCTGAATCCATGTAAGTAAATTTCAGTATAATTAATATGCAAATAAATATGTTAAAACAAAATGAGAATTCTCTGGTTGATTATCATCTTTTAAAACAAGTTAAATTTATAAACCTATAATTGGTTAGAATTTTCTGCTGTCAAACTAGCATTATAGTAAATTTTGAAGGGATATTCTGGGATGTTCCTCCACTAATTTACTAGTTTTTGGAATAAGGCCTTAAGATTATTTGAAGTTGTCAGTGTGAAAAATGCACAACACCCAAAAAACACAAACATTGTGTTTATTTAGAAGCTGTAGTGATTTAGTTAAGCCATATTATTTCAACCATTACAATACATAAATGGAAAAAGTATCTTAACACTTTGGTATATTGTTCTGAAGCATTATAATAACATTTAAAACAATGTCACATTATATGATAAGCAATGATGATATTTACATTTCAGGTTCAATCGTGGATCACTTATAAACGTTGGTGTCTTAGAAAGTCAAAATGATTGTGATTATATAGCTATGCATGACGTTGACCTGCTACCCCTCAATGATGCCTTAGACTATTCCTTTCCAGAAGAGGGACCTTTCCATGTATCTGCTCCAGATTTACACCCCTTATATCACTACCACTCATTTATTGGAGGTATTTTGTTGGTGACAAAATTCCATTTTAAGATGGTAAGATATTTTCTGTAAAGAATCATGATAATTTTGTTCTATTTTCATGGTATTGTTTCATGACACATTGTGCTAATTAGATCTGTCTTTCAACTTCTAAGGTCACTTAGGTCATATAATATATTTTAGATATTACCCTGTATGATCAAGGTTTTATGTCACACACATTGATCAATAGATTGATAGTGTATTGTTTGTTTGAGAGCAACTTTATTCTTGGTCATTACATCTGGATATGGGTCATCAGGGGTGAAAAACTAGGTCATTAGGTCATGTAAAAGAAAAGCATTACTTTGTCAGATTTTTCCTTTCAAATATAACCTGACCAAGTTGGAACATTGGTCTTCTTCAGGTCAAATCAAATGAAAGCCTTGTTAACACTATTGAAACCAAATTTCTAACTGAAAGTTTTTTTTAATTTTTTTTGTCATAAATTTATGGTTTACACTCTGTTATGTATAGAATAAAAGCAACAGTCTCCACTCAGGTGAGTTATAATATGACAATCATGGCCCTCATGTTTGAACATATTTTACTTATAAAAGATGGCTGTTGTTTCTCGTTAACAATGTTCATCTTTCAATTTAGATATATGTATTTTAAACAGCTTTAATATCTCTTTAACAATGTAAATAGATTTTGCTGAAAAACAATGCAAAAAACAACAAAACAACCAGAATAAGACATGAAAAAATTACATGTTAATAACTTCCTTTTAATTGATTTTGTATGTGTGAGATTGTTTCTCATTACAGCATTATTCTGTGACTTACTGGCAGAAAGGTACTTCATGTAAGGTTCTGTTGTTGTTTTGCAATACTTAAAAATTATTCTGGTAGACCATAAGAGAATGCCACCTTCCCCACAGGACAGCATATAGAATTATATGAATTAAAGTAATGAGACTGTGAATTAGGAAATGGTGTAAAATAGTTGTAACTGTAAAGAATTATTGGCTTTTATAGGTGAATGGAATGTCCAACAGGTACTGGGGTTGGGGCAGAGAAGATGATGAGTTTTATGTGAGATTAAGGAAGGCAGGTTTACTGGTAAGTTAATTTATAGAAATTGTTACCATTCTATATTTGCCATTTGTGATGGTAGAATCATAGGCACTATCTGTATTATACAGATAGTTCTATAGGTTGATGCACACTCTTACCTTGTGATGATTCTTTAGTTTTGTACCTGTACTTTACTGTTTGGTTTTGTAGTTTTACTGAAAGTAACAGAGTGAGTAATATGAAACTGAGACCTGAAGTGTTACAGCATGTGTTTTTAGATAAATAAATCAGGCATATACATAGAGATTAAATTAAGAGCTTTTTGTCTACATTGAGTGCTCTTAATTCTGAGAGTGGTAAAAATTCACAAATTTCAAACCTCTATACTCTTACTATTGAGTTGCACAAACTACTGAATTACACATACTCCTGGGGTTCACTCCTGTGACAAATCTATGGAACTACAGTCCTGTAGCTTTCACAAGGTCTGTGTTTTTCTCTTTATGTAGCGTTTTTATTCTCTGTAAACTGAAGCTGCTCATATGACTTTTTATAGATACAGTATTGTTGCTACTTGTTATAGTTTCCTAATAAGGTATTATTTTCATTATCACTTAACCTGCTACATATGAATACTGGACTTTTCTTGATATGGATTAGGAACAAAATGTTTAAGTAGGATATTTGAATATCATATTCAGAAAATACAATCGCAAAACAGTCAATAATTATTCATAATACAATTGTATGTAAATGTGAAACCGGAAATCAGACTCCATAACCAATATTTCCATCTGGGTGGCTGGAAATATGGCATGTATGTATTATCTATTCTAAAATTGATCAGTAAACATAGGCTGCAAAGACTTGTAGTTATGGTAACATTGTTAAAACTGAATGAAATATATACTGGTACTAATATTTTGTTTATTCCTTTTTAGAAAACCAAATTTGTTACCAAAAATGGTGAAAGCATTCCTGAGTATGAGGTAAATATATAAAAAAAATAACAATAATAGTAATTGTAAGATAATATGATATTTTCATTGTTTTTCTAGAGATCACTAACCTATAAAATTGAATCGTATTTTGATAATTTGACAACTTAATACATTATTTTATTGATTGAACATACAGGCGAACATTTTCAAAAAAAAAAACACCAAAAAACGGGTAATATATATGATAAGGACTAATGATGAAAGCAATACTGGAAAAGTACTGTTGTAAATGTATCCTTTAAGTAAAATATATATTAAACATACTGGTATGTTTAAGCATGAATCTGTTTATTTATTACAAAATGTTGAATGTTCCTTCCAGGTTCGTAGACCACAGAATATTACCACAGGGTTAGAAACATTTCGCCACATTCATGACAAAAAACAAAGACCAAGAGATAATAAAAGATTCTTCAATCAGAAAGAGGTATTGTTTAAAAAAAAGATGATTACTTCTAGCATAAAGCAGTATTTATATCTGTGCAAACTTATTTATTGCTACAATTGTTTAAGATACACATACATTAACTATTTCACTGACCTGTATGTTGTACATTGTTCTAGATATGGAGACTTTATTTATCACTTTATTCATCAAAAGATGAAAACTTGACAATGATTCCAAAACTTTTAGTAACTATTTATCATACTTACTTGAAACTTCACACATGTCTAACAACTCTTGGTACTTTGATTTCATGTGTGATTGGTAAATGGTAATGATGTAATGTTATGATGTAATGATGTAAGGTCAATATTCAGTGACATGAGATTAACAGCAGTAGGATTTAAGAAATAATCTGATATATTTTCTTGTTGTTGTTTTTTTTTAAATATCTGTGATAAGGCAACATGTTGTTTAAAGATGGAAATATGAAATACTGACATATATTTTAAAATATAGGCTTGAAGTTTCAGATGAGAAATAACTAAATTATTTTACAGAAAACCAGCAAGCTGGATAGAGAGACAGGCGTTGACAACATACAGTATGAAGTGCTAAACCGACACAAAATCTCAGTAAATGGTACAAGTTTTACAATGCTGGAGGTTGTTCTTAAATGTGACTATGAAAAAACTCCCTGGTGCTTAAAGGCAGAGGACCATCATTTAATTAAGAATTATATTACCCCTTTACCTCCCAGATGATAAAAATAAATACATGCCATCAGACCTAGGGTAATAGTTAATTGCAATCATCGATTTTATAATTGATTCCATGATTAAACTGTAATCATCATCATGTAATTGATTATCTTGCCCAAACTTTATTATATTACTTGTAATTGTAATTAAGCAATTACAGCTTAAATGAAGTCAGTAATTACTATCAAATTTAACAGGAAACTATTGAAATTCAAGGGATGCCTTTATTTCACATGATACAGTTTAACTTTTGTTTTACAGTTAAACATTGAATGTAATTAATTTGTTTACAGAGGCAAGTCTGAGTAATTATAATCAATTACAATAAAATCTGAAATTTATTGTAATTTAACCCTTTACCTCATATAGACGTGTTTTGACGGCTTTTTGACCCCCACTCCCTCACCCCCTCCTTTTTGAGGCCTCAAACAGTAAAAAACTACCCTCAGGTCGATCGTAAGGTAACGTGTAACCAACGCTGAAAAGCCTTTGACTCTATCTCAATCCATTAAGAAGTTGCAGCACTTTGAAATCAGCTTTGATGGAAAAAAACAATGCAAAAATAGTGATTTTTTGGCAATTTTGAGACGTCCCCTGTTGCAATGGTAACAGGAAATTTAAGATTGAGCATTTTGTTACAGAGGCTATGGTCCAGTCAACATTTGTGCCAAGTTTCATCAGTATTGAAGCTTTTATCATAGTTTCTTTTATCTTGAAGCTTTTACCGTACATGTAGTTTCATAGTTTTTTTTATCGTAGTTGAACTTGTAACAGGAGGATTTTCAATGAAAATGGCCATTTTTTCACAATATGCTCATGAGGTAAAGGGTTAATCAATTACTGATCAATGTAAATATCTGTAGGTCTGCATGCCATAATATTATTATTTATTGACATTCAGCAGATTTTCCAGCACAAATAAATGACATTGTCTCTAAACGTTAACCTAATGAAATTGGTTAACTAGATTTGCACTGATTAAGAATTGGAACTAAGGGATTTCTATATCAGATTGCAAAAAATAATTAAGGTACCAACAGTATAGAGCCTGGTCAGACTACAAGGACATGCAGGCTGGTCTGGCTATATACTGTTGGCAAATGTTACAAAAAATAGCCATGACAGAAATCTTTTGGAAAATTCATGAATCATGTCCAAACTCTTATCATTATTCATTACTTGTTCATTTGTAACATAAAATAGTCAGAAGAAAAACAACAACAGAAATAATACATGTGTATACAATAGAAGTACATTCTACTGTCAATTGTTAAAAGAGTTTCATGATAAATTGTTTATCTTTTGTGTATAAACTATAGTATTAAACCACAATTATAGAAACTAGACTGAGTTAGTTTAATACTCACAAGGTAGCCAAGTCAAGGTTAGTGCCAAAGATTGATGTATCATTCTCATTGTTATCATATTTTATATAATCATGTTATTGTTGTTTTTGTTTCAATATGGTTAAAAGCCAAGTATTGTTCAAGATGTAATGCATTTTTTGATTTTGTTGCATTTTTAGCACACCTGTCACAAAGTGACAGGGTGAGCTTTTGTGATCGCTTTTCGTCCAGCGTCTGTCCGTCCGTAAACTTTTACTTTAAACGACATCTCCTCATAAATCGCTAAGCCAATTTCATCCAAACTTCACAGGAATGTTCCTTTGGTAGTCAACTTTAAAAATTTATCAAAGAATTTAATTCTAAGTAGAACTCTGGTTTCTTATGGCAACCAAAAGAAAAAACTTAAATTATCTTCTTTTACAAAACCGAAAGAGCTAGAGCTTAATATTTGGCATGAAACATCATCTAGTCAGTGTCTACCTAGTTTGTTCAAATAAATGACCTGGGGTCATTGTTTTTCCTTATTTGTATATAGTAAAAACTTATAAATTTCTTTTAAAAAGCCCAAATAGCTAGAGCTTAGATATTAAGCATGAAACATCTTCTAGTGGGTGTCTACCAAGTTTGTTCAAATAAAAGCCCTAGGTTCAAAATTGGCCCCGCCCCAGGGGGTCATTGTTTTTCCCTTATGTATATAGTAAAAACTTAAAAAATCTTCTTTTAAAAAACCCTAAGAGCTAAAGCTAAGATATTTAGCATGAAACATCTTCTAGTGAGTGTCTACCAAGTTGCTTCAAATAAAAGCCCTGGGGTCAAAATTGGCCCCGCTCCATGGATCATTGATTTTCCTTATATGTATATAGTAAAAACTTAAAATATCTTTTTTTAAAAACTCTAAGAGCTAGAGCAAAGATATTTAGCATGAAACATCTTCTAATGAGTGTCTACCATTTTTGTTCAAATAAGGGCCCTAGGGTAAAAATTGGCCCCGCGCCAGGGATCATTGATTTTCCTTATATGTATATAGTAAAAACTTAAAAATCTCCTTTTAAAGCATGAACTATCTTCTAGTGAGTGACTACCAAGTTTGTTCAAATAAAAGCCCTGGGGACAAAATTAGCCCCACCCAGAGTGGGGGGTCATTGTTTTTTCCTATATGTGTATAGTAAAAGCTTAAAAAATCTTCTTACAGCTAGAGCTTAGATATTTATCATGAAACAGCTTCAAATGGGATTTTACCAAGTTTGTTCAAATAAAAGCCCCTAGGTTAAAAGTTGACCCCGCCCCGGGAATATACAGGTGAGCGATTTCAGGGCCATTATGGCCCTCTTGTTTATAAAGGAATTATATAGATAGTGGTTTAGGGTCATATATGCAAATGGTGAAGGTAACATTGGTGAATTATATACACCTTTATACATTATATACTAAAGCCATATATCCATTTCCTGCATTCTATTTGTTCCTTACCACATTGAAATACTGAAAAGTATTCAGGGACGATAATTCTGTATGGATTAATTTATTGAATCATCTATATTGTAAAGCTTTTCTTTGTCAAATGTTCAAAGTCTCAAAGACAACACTGTCACAAATTATTAAACATACAAAACAAGTTACAACATTGATATGATACTGTTAAAACTTAATGAATATAAATATTACAATATATAACAGCAAGTTTTTTCCCATCCCATTTTGATGACCGATATTGAGCCATGTTCTCAATGCCAAAATTTCAAGGAGAAAATTCCCAATTCAAGGAACAAAAAATAATATGAAGTAAAATTTTAATAATTATGTTACATTTAACTGCACTTTGCTATAGAAAATTGTAATCTTGCATTCCAAATAGTAATATTTATGTGCTTATGCTTGAAATATAAAAGGAGTTTAATTAACTAAATATTTCATTTTGTTGCCCTATTTGAAGTATAGAATATGTTGTAAGTTTTTTTTCCCAATTTGTCTAAAAAGTTGTTGGAATCGGGTCATGATCCCAATGTGCTTAGAAAAAAAACCTGAACAGAGTCATAAACTTGAAATCATAAAGAACAAAAAAACGATAGTAGCATAAAATTATATGATAAACAGTGCTATAACATATTTAGCACATATAACTTGACATATCATTGTCATAATTTGCTGAGAGTAAATAAAGGTGTCTTATACCAAATAACAATTCACTATAAGTATAAGTTGTTTCTTGTATGTATTATCTGCCAAATATATGATTTTCTTTTACTTTTGTGATATATAAACAATAATTATATTTTCACTTATCTGTTTTCTTTTTATAAAAAAATTGTATGAAAAGTAACATAAACTAAATTGAAAAATATAATAATGTGTTTGTTTGTATTTCCTAGTTATCTAAGAGTAGTATCATCAGATGGTCTAAATTCAACCCTGCCATGTCCTAAATTTGTCCCTGCCATGTCACAAATTTGTCCCTGCCAAAATTTGTCCCTGTCATGTCCAAAATTTGTCCCTGTCATGTCCTAAATTTGTCCCTGTCATGTCCAAAATTTGTCCCTGTCATGTCCTAAATTCATCCCTGCCATGTTCTAAATTTGTCCCTGTCATGTCCTAAATTCGTCCCTGTCCTAGAGTGAATATCCTTACTTTGGATGTCAGAAAGTCTTAACAAATGTTCATTAAGAAAGAAAACAGCTGGATATTTTTAAACATCAAAGTAAATTTAATGTATCATTCAGCCAAATTATTTCAACATAGAATGCTTGGATCATTAGAAAATATAGTGTATCTTCTAAACAGCTCTGTGAAACGTTTAGGGTAACAAATCATGGCCACTGGAGGATATATCATATTTTCAGTACTTGTCAAATACCAGGCAGCTGTTATCCTCAGTGTAGCTATACTCATGTTAAATGGGTTTTTTTAGAGTAAAACTAAACTGTCAATAATTTCCAATAGGAACTTCTGACACATCATAATGATAGAGACTAGAGACCTTTAGTGCATTGTTCAAGATCTAAATATATCCATATACGATGTTGCCTATATACATTGAAACTATCTTTCATCTTTCACTGATGTCTTTTACATACCTTTGTTGGTCTATAATAAGATTCACATGAGTCAAGGTCACTGGTGCTTCAAATAGTTTTTCACACTTTTGCTCATAGTCACACAGCTTTTGTTTCTTGACCGATGTTTTTTCTATAACAATGAGGTAACAATGACGATAAGACTTGATGTCAGAGATCAGTTGTCATGGAGAAATTTCACCAGGTGATCAAATCAGCCACCCCTTGATGACAGAAAACGATGCTCTCCGTATTGAGCTAAGAGGGCGGCAAACACAAATGTACCAAGATGACATATCATGTAAATCTTATTCTTATCAGATACTCACCCAAATGTAGGTATAATTTAAACACATCAATATTAAGATTACCTAATTTCTTTTCATAAAAATGCCTATTTTAATGATTTTTAACACACTACAGTGTTGAAGCAGTACCTTTAGACTCTTGCAGAAATCGTGAACACAAAGTAGAAAAACATCAGTTTTTTTGGTCAATTTTTTTTACATTTTTCATTCATTATATTATATCAATCATTGCGAAGAGATGAATTACATGTCTTAAAGTGCATATCAGTAGGTAAAAAGTCAAGTTTTTAGCATTTAATGATTAAAGGCCTTGTCCGGTATATAGCGCAATACAATATTTAGTGTGATGCTCCAAACTTATTTTTGTAATCTGGACTCATTTTAATATAACAAAGGGTAATGACTTGACAATGTATCTGCTTGTGCCATTTCAATGCCCTTCAGTATTCATTTACAGGGGATAATAAATAATATTAACAAACTATGTTATGGAAGCAACATTTTTATTGACATCTCAAATGCCACATGCATGTTTAAAATAATGACTATGGCATAAAATACCATTCAACACACATCTAATATTATGTTAATTCACATTTGTTCATACAGCACATAACGTAACTAACACAGGATGTAATTCACACATGTTTCATACATCATATAACTGACTTAACATGTTTTAAACCATTTTTCCAACTGAAAAAAATTTTAATTTTCCATCTTACAAATTAGTGACTTATCTTTCTTTATTTATCTTTTTTTTATATTTATTTAAACCAATATGGTATAATCTTTTGTTAAATCTTGATAAAAATGCAAAATTTATAATTATTATAGAAAATTTGTGTTTACAATAACTTGAAAACTTTACTGTTACATTCTGTAACTACAGACCTTGAAATATCAAAAATTCCATAATTCTACTTTATATAAAATTTTATGATGTTACACTTCTACAAAAATAGTGAACTGAAAAAAAAAGAAAAACAAACAAAACATATTGTTACGTATAAAAAAATAAAAAATAATTTGAAGATTTATTGCACTATGAAATGGTTGTTTCATGTTATCCAACAAATAATGTGTTAAATGTGTATCATAAAACACTTAAGTTGCTCTGCAAATATGTAAGTTTTGTATGGAAAAACAACAGAATTCAAAACATCAAATTCATTATATCAGTACCACAATTATCTCCCTTATTTCAACACTTGCTCTGTATTGAATTTTCTCAGAAAATAATATCAACGCTAAAATTACAGCCTGTTGTTTACCAGATACAATTCAGAATATTATCTGCTATATATTTTCAGAGATAATACTTGTCATCTCTATAATTCAGGACAATATTTCATTATTTCATAGACACTGTAAAAAATTTTCCCCTCTAATTTTAGAGACATTGTTAATTATTTCCCCAATATCAATTTTAATGCAAAACATCAGTTCTAAAACAATTGTGTATGTCCTTGGATTTAAATAAATTTTGAAGAGACCTGTTAGTAATGGTCAAGAAATAAGAACGATATTTGTGGTCTGTTATAGTACACATATAGCTGATAGAGACAGTTTTATATCGAGACATCAGCCGATATTCCCAAAGTTGACTTGTTTTACACTTATATCTACAACTGACTAGAGTTTTTTTGTGTGTATAAGATCCCTATTATGTATACACTAAACAAGTTTAATATAAAAAGAATAGGAAGTTAGGAACAGAGTTGTGTTATGTTGAATGTATGATGATTAAAAAGTTGCCTATGTCATGAAAATGACATCAGGTCTATATTATAACAGAACATTATTATGCTTAACAAAATCATAGGTTAAAAATCGTAACAGCTATTTAAACAATCACACAACACACAAAACCCGATTTATACTGTTTTAACTCAATATTTGAAGCAAAAATTACATTCATGTATAACATGCAGTATTTAACATAAAAATTGCACAATGTCATATACTTTCCTACAAAACAATACACTATGGCTCTCCCATAATGACAGAAGCTTTTCCAAGTATATTTTCGAAATAGTTGTCTGCCCTTGCCCATTTTATAACACATAATGTAAAAGTCTACAAGCAAAAGTCTAGAAAAATCATCAAGAATCATCTCAGATAGAAGCAACCCCTCCCTTTACATTAATTGATCAAGTTAAACAACTCAGCTGTACAATAATGAACTGAGGGCCATGCTGAATATATTTTTTTTAAATGGTGCAAGATTGCCAAGTTACTTTATAGGTAAAACAAGAGCGATCAGTAATCACATGTGTCGCCTCATGATGGCCAATTTTATGTTGGGACAAGTTTTGTGACAGACGGACAGACAGACGGACAGTGCACAACTAGACTTGGTACTGATCATTCCTGTATAGTTTGGATAAAATTGCACCAGTAGTTTATGAGGAGTAGTCCGGACAAGCTTTTGTGTATCTGGCAACACACAGAAAAAAACACCTTTTTATCAAAGGGCCATAACTTGGCCAAAAATCATTCAACCGGAAAACCCGTGCAATATGCGCAAGGACTTGAGCTACAGATCAATCCTGTAAAGTTTCATTGAAATTGCATTAGTGGTATAAGAGAAGTAGTCCGGACAAACTTTAAAAATAAAAATTATTAAAGGGCCATAACTCTGACAAAAATCATTGAACCGGAAAATACTGACAATATGCACAACTAGACTTGGTACTGATCATTCCTGTAAAGTTTGGATGAAATTGCAGCAGTAGTTTTTGAGGAGTAGTCCGGACAAGCTTTTGTGTATCTGGCAACACACAGAAAAAAACACCTTTTTATCAAAGGGCCATAACTCGGCCAAAAATCATTCAACCGGAAAACCCGTGCAATATGCGCAAGGACTTGAGCTACAGATCAATCCTGTAAAGTTTCATTGAAATTGCATTAGTGGTATAAGAGAAGTAGTCCGGACAAACTTTAAAAATAAAAATTATTAAAGGGCCATAACTCTGACAAAAATCATTGAACCGGAAAATACTGACAATATGCACAACTAGACTTGGTACTGATCATTCCTGTAAAGTTTGGATGAAATTGCACCAGTAGTTTTTGAGGAGTAGTCCGGACAAGCTTTTGTGTATCTGGCAACACACAGAAAAAAAACACCTTTTTATCAAAGGGCCATAACTCGGCCAAAAATCATTCAACCGGAAAACCCGTGCAATATGTGCAAGGACTTGAGCTACAGATCAATCCTGTAAAGTTTCATTGAAATTGCATTAGTGGTATAAGAGAAGTAGTCCGGACAAACTTTAAAAATAAAAATTATTAAAGGGCCATAACTCTGTCAAAAATCATTGAACCGGAAAATGCTGACAATATGCACAACTAGACTTGTTACTGATCATTCCTGTAAAGTTTGGATGAAATTGCACCAGTAGTTTATGAGGAGTAGTCCGGACAAGTTTTGTGACGGACAGACAGACGGACAGACAGACAACGGAGAAGTGATCCCTATATGTCGCCACTACTCCGTAGAGGCGACACAAAAAACCCTATAAAATATCATAAGTGAGACTTATAAGTAAACAAATGTTCATGTAAGTTTCTGCCCTTGAAATCTTGTCAGGGGGAGGTGGCACAAAAAAATAAAACAACCTTCGAAGTCTGATTACTAATTCCGAATCCCTAATAAATATACACAACCTAATAGTTAATATATTTAACAAAAACTATAAAATCAACAGCATTAAAAACTCAATATAAATAAAAAAACACACAAATAAAAACAACCATATAGCGGCTATACTGACTCATGATTTTTACATAAGTAAAAAAGAAAATATGTTTCTATAAATAGACTTATATAATATATTCTATGTTTTCCTGATATTTGTCTGAGCTATATAAAAGCTGGCCTGAATGCAAAAACAAGAGTCAAAGTTAGACAAAATGTTACTATTAGTTTATAATTGCAGTGTTAAATGCCTTTATCAGTTGTCATGGCAACAAATTCTCTGAGTGAACGAAAATACTAATCTCTGAATAAGATACAAAAATAATGATTTTAGAAGCACTTTTTTTTTTCAAAAAAATTAATCTTATTCTTTTATTTGCCTTTCACCAATCCTGAACAAGTGCTAAAGAATGCAATAACAAAAATTTGCATTATGACCCTGAACATCAAACATATGAATGATTTGAAATTTCAAAATATCAATTATCATTTAAAAGTATCATGTACATGGATTGTTTTCATAATGATCATTTTAAGGAATGCCCCTATTATATAACATATTAGTCAGGTATGTTAATCTAAAATATTATTATTTAATAGATATTCTACAATTGCAAACTAAGTGGTCACCAATTAATAATTCAGAATTATGATATTAAATAAAGAATTATGGGAAAATAATAATACAGAATAAAAACCCATCAAAAATAATTTTTAAAACCCTGTTAACATTTGCACATTTCCTACATGCAGAAATTAATTTGCTTGATTCTGTGTTCTCTTTGTATTTCTCCTAAAAAAACAGAATAACTATGTGTGATTAGTTGTTAAGTGTGCTGCCTCAGTGTGGAATTACAGTACTCTGTTATTGACTTCAATTATCTGACACAAAGGTGACAAAACAAGGTACATTATATAGACAGAAATAACACTAAGGCAACAACATATATTATCTGACGTAACAATAACTTATTATATAGAATACTGTTTAATTTCTCAGGGTATCATATTTTAATTCACATCGAAAGATGCCCAATCAATAACTCACATTTCTTACATATAGATTTTAAAAAAAAGATCATCTAGTGAAGCATTTAAATGGTGAATAATTAATTGCATGTATCTAATTATGAATTAGATAATAAACATTATCATCTCCTTTGGTGTAAAACTATACAAATAGAATCTGTACCAGAATCAGTGGCATAGTTTAAGGATTCCTTCATAATGATAGAATGTAATCACATGTTACCGACGTTATAATTTCACGGCACAGTAGTGGACTCGGTATATAAAGCAATTATAACGGCAAATATATGTACATGTATATATATATCAAGGACACTATTGTTGCATATCGATACTAGTAAGTTAAAAAAAATCTTTGTAATGAAGGAATCTCTTAAACTCTCCACAAATCTTTAAATTAAAAAAATAATAATAAAAACAATATATAAATAGTCACAACACGACAATTCATTTAAAGATATGTTTATAATCACTGTACAGGTTTTAAAAAGATAATCTGTTCTCTTATATACTTTGCTAAGATAATTTACTAGAGATTTAACAATGATAATAATGTATTTTTTTGGTATGATTGTCCACAACCTATTTTTGATTTTAACTTTTTCTCCAATGTTCCAAGAAATACCTTAATAGCCACAGAATGTCTTAAGTCTTATCTTTCTGTTCATAAACATTAGTACTTTTTTGTTTGTTTGTTTGTGTCGGACAATACCTCAGGTACCCCTATGTGTACCTGAGGGCACATATTAATAGTTTTACTTGATGAGATACACATTCTATATGCCTCCAATAAAAACTGTGTAAATTTATTGAAACTGATGTAACTGCAAGTGGTTTACTTCTAAATAAAGGGCAATAACTCTGAAATTCATGTCCTTTTTGTTACATAGATAATACCTGAGAAATAATCAGTGTCAATCATAAAAGGGGTCTAACTCTGTCCAATAAAATAACAGTGAAACATGAATAATGTTAGAATGACAATATTTTCAACTTTATTTTACAATTAATTTTTCCTTAAATTTACAATTGCAATTAAGCTTTAAGAAATCTCTTTTTTTTTTACGTACAGTTGCAATGATAGACCAGATTGAGACATCAAGCACAGGTTTCTCGGACAGAACACTAGACCAGTGGCTATAGGTATTTCAAGGATAACATGTACATTTCACAACTTTAACAAATCTAGATTTTATCCAGCATTTAATTCCACAGAACAAACAAATAATACCCCACATTATGTGTGAGATAAATTAATTAATATGACAGGTGAATATATAAAGCACAATAGAAGACAAAAAAATAAACATTCATAGCTCGAAATGTTGATAATGGCACATAAACAATTAAGATTTTTTACCAATATTAAATCATACCATTACTACACAGGAAAATGATGCATACTTCATTTTCTTAGTCATGTGATCAAAAATATGTGTGTACGTGACCAACTCATCTCTCATAATGGTAGTAAATTTAAATATTTCTGAAAAATGGAAACATTTTTAATGAAGTCTTAACAAATTTTTCAGAACTATTTTAAGTGAAGATACTGAAAAAGGATAAGAAAATTGACAAATCTTTGTTGTTTTAAGAAATACAACAATTGTTATTTATGCCTGAATGTCACAGACTTTTGATGTGATGGTCTGGAAAGTTGATCAAGGATTCAACAATGTGATTAAGAGTGAGATAATGGATTAAAATAGCTATGTAAGCAAGCTGGAAAAAAAGTGATTGCACATTACTATGTGGATTTTATATGAAACATTGCCTTCAACTACTTAATGTGAAAAAAATGTTGCGAAAATGAAGACAATGTTTGGCTTTATTTTCATCCATCAAAAAATGACCATTGTGTTGGCTTGATGTGTAAACAGTTGTACCTTTCCTTGTTAAAGGCACATTATGCCTAAGAAACAAATAAATTTATCCTCTTTAGAAAGAACATACATGCTTTTTATAAAGTTTAAATAATGGTTTTAGAGCATTTTAGGATACTTACTTATCATCTATAGAAAATTTTAGAGCAGAATGTGAAATAATTTGCTGACAAAGTTGCAAAATGTAAACAACATAGTATATTTTTGACTTCCATACAAAGTACTAAATTACTATATCTGTACAAAAAACCGAAATGCAACACATTCAAAAGATGGTTCAGGCAATTTGCCAATGATTTACTTTTGGGAACACCAAAAAATAAAACTTTTGAGAAATACAAATAAAGGCATTAGTGAGGCATAAAAGGCCTTTAAACAAATAATAAAAGTTACAACTATTTCACATCAGAACCTTGATCTCCAGTATAGAGATATAAACACATCGAAACATCTTATAGCAGTATGATTTCTGCAGTCATTGAATCATCCTCTAACCTGCACAATTAAACAACAACATTCTCTCTTGTGCGACTCTTTGACTTAGTATTACTATACACGTGTTCTCTAACTTGACAATTATCGTTGAAAGCTTCTAGAAATTTGATGATGTCTTAACTGTGTTTTCCAAAAAAGCTTAACAAGAATTCAATTTTCACTCTTTTTTATGCACGTTGCATTTTCATTTTCTGACCAAAACATTGGTACATAAAGTAGTATATTTCTTAAGATCATACAACTTAATTAATTGTAAATGATGTAAGTAATCTATTTCACAGCTTTAACAGTGTACATGTCTTATAAAGAACATCAGTTTAATCTGAGCCACATCTATATACCAATATCTCCTTTGATTACAGACACCTAGGGTTATGTTGGACTGGATCCTTTGACGTTTTTTTTCTATGATATGACATAAAGATACTCTTGTTACAGAGTTATCTACAATAAATATATCACCTGTTACAGATATATCATATTACAGGTTACACCACTTACATGTAATATATGATACACGTTACCTATATTATACCTGTCTTCTTCATATTGCAATCTAGCACAGTTACACTATAACCTACTACTCAATAAAGCATATTGGTGATACAGAAATCAAATAAATGTTGCTAAGCTAACACAAACTACCATGTAAAATTTGAGAAAAATATGATGTAGCTACACTTTTTTCATAACATTTCTAAGATCAAAATACTTTAGACATGATCATTTGGTTTAGATTTTAACAGTGATTCTATAAATTTCTATTTCTAGCAAAATATCATATTTTAAACGTGATAGGTATTTTAATAAACATTTTATTACACTTGTAACAAATTCAAATATGACAGAAAATAAAAGCTTCTAGTTAGAATAATAATGTCTGCATATAACCGTATCCATACTTGCATACTCCTATCTTAACTTTATCTTTGCTCCAGTTACCAGACAAGATCTAAAGATCTTTAGAGTACTGGAACATCATATCCTCTTTCTTTCAAACTTTTCCCTCAAACTTTGAACAATTCCCCATTTTCATCAATCAATTTGTTGAAATGAAGAAATTTTCTCCGCTTAACAAATATTATCAATCAAGTCTTCCTGCTAAAGCGTACACATTTCACACCCTTGAGACCATACAATGTCCTCATGCCATTTTTGGAATGGATTATTTCAGATGTCCGTTGCTATGGTTTTCTAGAATAGTTAGACAAACATTCTAAATTTGGATCACTAAATTATCTGACATATACCCTTCTTTAGATAATTGCTGATAATCTACACACTATTTTCTAAACAATGGCTGCTTCCATTTTCATCATTACATCATACACTATAGATGTAAGGATCATACACTATTGATGTAAGGGGGTGGCAGGTATATATATATATATTTTCTTTCCTATAGCTTTAAACGAGAAACTTTTACAATATGATGACAAAGCAGGAACTTTTGTTGTAAGGAAATTACGTTCTCTCTGTGTGTGTCTCTCTCCATATGATCAATTACAAAAATAAAATTTGAACACAATTTATTGTCTATAAGCACTAAGGGTTTTCTGCTAGTACAGATCTTTTTTCATTTTCATGTCATTTCTTTTCCACTCGGGTAAATGTCTGAATTCCTCCACTGACATGTTAAAAATGCCCTCAAATTCTTCTTTGGGTAGATGAATCTGTAAAACAAAAGAATTTGTTCAAAAAGCAAATATAAAGCCAGGTCAATCTGTATCTCTGTAAAATATGTCCAAACTCACAATCTGCTTTCATTTCAATCTTTTTGATAATGATATGCCTTAAATGACAACAGATCTGTGAAAATTCCTAATGTATAATGTCAAATTCTTTTCATGATTATTTTTCAGAAAAAAACTTTCATTCCATCCACAAGCTATATTTCAAGGCATTGTTAATGAAGCTATACTATAAATAGTCCTTAAGTTAATTTAAATGGGAAGAAAAAATACCTCTTTATCATAGATTCTATTATCAAATGATTTTATACAACAATTGCAAGATAATCTGTTTTATGCCAAAATTAACATAATTATCTCAGAATGTTAATTTGTTTTTAGTTAGTATATATCTTAAAAGAGCATGTTGTTTCTTCATGAAGCACTATGACTGAGTGGGTAAGGTGTCTGTCTCTCCACACCGGGCTTGTAGGTTCAAGTCCTAATGGAGACAGCAGGTGAATCATGGGTTCAAGTTTATACCATATTTCCCCAAAGATACTCTTTCATACATCATAAATGATACCAGTACAGGTTAGCTTCAGGACATAGACACAAGTGTAGTTAATATCTATTGCTAAAACCAATTTCACAATCAACCTTCAAGTAATATAAACTTGCAGAGCATCTTTTTGGTAACATAGTTTACCTATATATAGGCAACAGTTTACCAGTTACAAGAGTTAGGACATTGCACACAACTGACCTAAATTTACATAGTAACATAGTATAGGTGACCTTAATATAGCCTGTAATGTAGAAAATGAACTATTCAACTTTAGAACACAAGGTATTCAATTACCTTTGATGAATGCATTCTCACACTGTAATGGCATATTTCTCTACAAAGTTGAAAAGTTTATATAACATAGATGATGCTATGCACATTCATAATGGTTTTTAATTACAACAATGTTCTTATTAACTTCTCTTTAACCTGTTGAAGCAACAAGGTAACAAATTCCCCTCTCATATCAAATGAAAGCTTGTATTGGAAATATGAGAAAAAGAACATCTCTAGAATGCGGTGTGTATACCATATCTGGGTTAGTTACTGGACATAATTACGTAACCATAGCTCTAATATCAATGAACTTTTAGTGGGATTTTAGAAAACCTTGTTTGAAAAAGTTGTCACAGAAGATAAATGTAACTTAATACACACAGTTACATGAGCAAAAATTGACATACATGTATACTGTATGTTCTAGTTTTTTTTTTTAAATTAAAAACAGAAGAAATATATGTTTATCTAGAACAACAACCTATACAATGTAGTTAAAGCAGTAATGGCTTAATTAAGTTAAAATACATAATATATGTCAACATAAAATATAGTCTTCTGAATAAATGAATAACATCAGTTATTACCACCTCTGTACAAGATCTTTTTTTACTTAAGCTTTTTTACCATTTTTATTCATTATTTCATTTATTTTGTTTTGTGATTGTGGGTTGGGGATAGTTAGGGAAAAAGAATGAGTTGGAGGAATAAGAGGTTTCAATTTTAAGTCCCACAGGCACTATCAAGGTGAGTATGGTGGTTTTTTATGTTTTGAAGAAGACCTCAAGTACCGATAAGTGTATTTTTTTCAGATCCAGCAAACTGATTTTTAAGTAGTTGAACCACCACAGACCTTCTATAAGGATATGGATAGCTTCCTCGCATGAAGGAATCAAAAATATCCGTTACAGGATTTGAACCAATTAAATCAATATCATTTATGTCTCTAGTGGCAACAATTGAGGTAATTTACTATGTCCTTTGTTGTGTACCCTTGTATAACAACCATGAATGCCACTGCCCCATGGTTTGAATTGTTAAAATCAAAATGTCATGATCAACATTGGAAATATATATAGAATATTATTTCTATGTTCAGTATTATACCTACCTCTAACTGATCTCTATCAACATCTTTGGGTAAATCAAAGTTGGAGATTTTCAATCTTTCATAATTGTACACCTGAAAAAAATACAATAAAATAACATAAAAGATATAATAGATCTACACAGAATTGAATAGACTTAATACGGAATTTAGAATATTTTGGGTTTTCCAAGCTAATCAGGGAGTATAAACAAACTTTTAAAGTTACAGCTTCTGAAAATGAGGGTATCATGAAGCTATAATGGTAAATGTTTGTTTGTACAGGGGGATTGGTTTGGAAAAATATGTTTTCTTTCCTGTTTCGGATAACAAGTTTTGAAATCTCTCTGGTTGACTGTATATTAAATAAGTCAAACAAATGCTTTAACTTAGCTTTCCATTATTATGAATCAATAAATCATTATGTTGCTGAAAATGTAATAAAACCATGGTAACAGTGCAAGTCTAGCCCTGTATGCAGCCATATAAGACTTATACAGTTGTAACTTGATATTAAGTGTTTTGTCACTGAAGCATGGTCGTGTAATCCACATGTTCAATGAACAATTATTACTTCCAAAACCAGGAAAAAATTCATGGCATAAATTTAAAAGACGCACAACTTACTTTTACTTTTGTTTTGAGCAATTACAGTAAATGCACTGTTTAGCAAAGAATTTGTGGTTACAACAAAGAAACTTACTGGAGGTTTAGTATCTGTGTGCCAGGAACTTTTCTGGAACGTCATAAGTGACACACCTGGTTGGTCAAATATGGTGCTTGTAACCTAGGTAACCAAATACAAAATTTTCATTTTCAAAAGTAAACATATAATATCATACTTATTATCATAAAAGTTAGTAAATAACCAACATTAATTTTGTAAGCAGTGGGTTCCAACCAGAAAATAATAGGTTTTTTTTTTATTTCTCAAGCAAACCAACAACTGATTAAACATTTCTAATTTATCAAATCATTGTAAAGTTGGTTAAAGCAACAATACTACAGCCAAAGAACAACAAAAATAAAATCCATAAAACTAGCAATGGACTGCTCCAAATGTAAAACAGGGCAGGTCCATGTGCACATATTTAGCAGGGTTAAACGTCAAAAATAAATTATTTTAGGTAATTATTCAGATTAATAAAATGGATGACAATGTTTCATATGAATAAGCAGTACAACACAAAATTAAAATACTGTATTGCACAAAGTCTTTTTTTCCAATATTCATAAAATTTCCTTCCAATTTTCAATTGAATTCAATTTTCTTGATGATAATTAATGTTACCAATAAGGGAATAAAATCTGTTATATGTGTTGCATACAGAATTATGTCATACATGTTTGTGTGGGCTTGAAGTAGAAATATGATAGTCAAGTTTCTGCAGCAGGCACTTTAAACCGGGTCTGGTAGGCAGACCAAAATTTTATTCCTTATATCAGTAAGTGCCCTTTTTTTCCCCTGTAATAGTGTCAGAAGTTCCCATAATAGTTATAATTTGGCAACTTTTGTGACTCATTTTTTTACTAATAGACTTATTTTCACCACTCAAAAATTACTTAACTCAGTCGACCAGAACCCATTCCCAAAATATATGGTGTAAAAATCCGCTGCAGGGTTATACTATTCTTTCCATGTACACATGACATTTTCTCTTTGCTACTTCATATTTTTAGCATTTTTATAAGTAAATCACCTTGTACATTACCGGCAATTCTTAATTCACAGCAAGTCACACCCATTATAAAAATTCTGTAAGTGCAGATATTACAGCACTTACAATCTAGGTATTATCTAGGTATTGTAATAAGTCTGCATATATGGTGCATGAATACAGTATTTTATCAAACCTATAACTAAATGATCTGAGATATATACATAATAGATGTTGATGAAAAGAGCATACTTTACTAGTTTCTGTATTAATGGACGATGTGGAAACTCGCGTATCTCTACCAGACGACACATCTAGATCATAAACTCTCTGAAAATAAAGCATACCATGCAACATGAATGATAAATGAGAATGAAAAATGCAACATCATGTCTGAAAGATTTCCTGCTAGTATTTCATGTCACACATAACACTGTAAAAGTTCCGTCACATTTTCAGACATGTCTGTTATGGTAACACTTAAGACATTATTACAAGCACAAGAGGGCAAATAGATAAAACCATGCTTGCTCGCTAGATATGTTCATCACAGGATTGAAGTCAACTTCCATGATGAACTTCAAACACAAAATGTTGTTATTCTAGCCAGTTTAAGAGATTGCACCCAAATTGGATGAATATGTGCCTGTTGGAGCAAAAAAATGTTTGAGACTAAATTAGACGCTCCAAAATAAAGTATTTGTTTCAGTAAGATGGACATGTTTAAACTACATGTAATACGATATACATTAAAATCTTCAAAACATGATGCTAAAACATGATGCTGAAGTACAGATGGTTAAAAAATAGATTCTAATCTACCGGTCAATATCAAATATGTTAAAATAAAAATTTAAGAAATATGATTTAACTTGAAATTTGGATATCCCCACATTCCAATGTTTTGTCAGTCAACTGACAGACACCTGGGTTGACAGACATACAGACAAAGCTAAATCTATACCCCCCCACCCCCCAAGTAGTGGCAGCACAAAAACATGAAAAAGAAGCTAAAACAGGATGTGCAAACAAAACATTTAAACATGATGTATATGGAAATAATGCCATGTTGAAAAGATTATTCCTTCTTTATGATATGTTAGTTATATCAAAAATGTTTTAAATAATACTTTAATTATACTTTTATCATTCCCCAGTTAATTACGTAAATTTACTTGGGAATGGTTTCAAATAACCTTGACACATCCATAGAAAGAGTTATTTCTGTTCCTTCAGTTCAAAAACAATTTCTCAATGTGTGGGTAGCGTAACAATTACTTGTCAAAGGATTGTTTAGTTGGCATTTAAAACTAGATTATGTTATGAAACATATTAAACAAGAGGGCCATGATGGCCCTAGATCGCTCACCTGACTTATCAAACTCATCCAAACAATTACCTAGACAAGCATTCTGACCAAGTCTCATGACAGGTGAGTCAAAAATGTGACCACTACAGTGTTAACAAGGATTATCCATATTTGAGCAGTGCGACCTAGTTTTTTACCCAGGTGACACATATTCAAACTTGACCTAGAAATCATCAAAACAAACTTTCAGACCAATTTCCAGGATACTTGGATCAAAACAGTAGCAACTAGAGTGTTAACAAGATTTTTCTATTTTTAGCTCCGGTGACCTAGTTTCACATGCGATTTCGAACTCATCCAAGCAATTACCTAGACAAGCATCCTGACCAAGTTTGATGATAATTGAGTCGAAAATGTGACCACTAGAATGTTAACAAGGTTTTTCCATATTTGGGCGGTGTGACCTAGTTTTTCATCCAAGATGACCCATGTTCGATCTTGACTTAGAAATCATCAAAACAAACTTTCAGACCAATTAACAGAATATTTGGATCACAACAGTAGCCACTCGAGTGTTAACAAGATTTTTTTTTTTTTTTTGCTCCTGTGACCTAGTTTTTCATCCGAGATGTCCCATGTTCGATTTATTCTCAGCAATGACCTAGACAAGTTTCCTGACCAAGTTTGATGACAATTGAGCCAAAATTGTGACCACTAGAGTGTTAACAAGGTTTTTCTATTTTTAGCTCCTGTGACCTAGTTTTTCATCCGAGATGACCCATGTTCGAACTCATCTGAGCTATCACCTAGACAAGCATCTTGATCAAGTTTGATGATGATTGATGCAAAAATGTGACCGCTAGAGTGTTAACAAGGTTTTTCTATTTTTAGCTCCGGTGACCTACTTTTTCATCCGAGATGACCCATGTTCAAACTCATCCGAGCTATCACCTAGACAAACATCTTGACCAAGTTTGATGATGACTGATGCAAAAATGTGACCGCTAGAGTGTTAACAAGGTTTTTCTATTTTTAGCTCCGGTGACCTACTTTTTCATCCGAGATGACCCATGTTCGAACTCATCCGAGCTATCAACTAGATAAGCATCCTGACCAAGTTTGATGATGATTGATGCAAAAATGTGACCGCTAGAGTGTTAACAAGGTTTTTCTATTTATAGCTCCGGTGACCTAGTTTTTCATCCGAGATGACCCATATTCAAACTCATCCAAGCTATTATCTAAACAAGCATCCTGACAAAGTTTGATGATGATTGGGTCAAAAATGTGACCACTAGAGTGTTCACAAGGTTTTTCTATTTTTAGCTCCTGTGACCTAGTTTTTCATCAGAGATGACCCATGTTCGAACTCATCCAAGCAATTGACTAGACAAGCATTCTGACCAAGTTTGATGATGATTGATTCAAAAATGTGACCACTAGAGTGTTCACAAGGTTTTTCTATTTATAGCTCCTGTGACCTACTTTTTCATCCGAGATGACCCATGTTCGAACTCATCCGAGCTATCACCTAGACAAACATCCTGACAAAGTTTGATGATGATTGGGTCAAAAATGTGACCTCTAGAGTGTTCACAAGGTTTTCCTATTTTTAGCTCTTGTGACCTAGTCTTCCATCTGAAATGACCCAGTTTCGAACTCATCTGAGCAATTGACTAAATAAGCATTCTGACAAAGTTTGATGATGATTGATTCAAAAATGTGACCACTAGAGTGTTCACAAGGTTTTTCGATTTATAGCTCCTGTGACCTACTTTTTCATCCGAGATGACCCATGTTCGAACTCATCCGAGCTATCACCTAGACAAACATCCTGACCAAGTATGATGATGATTGAGTCATAAGTGTGACCACTAGTGTGTTCACAAGCAATTGTGGACGGAGGACGGACATTCACCAATCCTAATAGCTCACCCTGAGCAAGCTCAGGTGAGCTAAAAATATACATGTCAGATTATACAACATACATTGTAAAATGGAAACTGGTTACTATAGAAATATTTTCACATTTCTTAAAACAAGATTGCATTTGAGAAAAATGCTATGCCACCGCAATAATACAACACTAAATAGTAGTGTAGGAACAGATTTTTTTTGTTTCTATACAATTGAAGATTGTCATAATGCATAGATCCCTGACCTATCTAAGTCTTATTATCAGATTAGTGGTTAAATCTACTGTTAACTCAATAAAAGATCAGAGTAGGAATATTTCAATGCACTTGAGTCTAGTGAATTTGGTGGTGAAGGTCATATTTCACACAGCCTAAAATTTCATGACTGCATCAAAGGACAACATGTAATACACTTTGTCAAAATCTAGGTCAGCTGATATCAAAGTTCACTTTTAATTTTGACACCGGAGGCAAAATTTGAACAACTTTGGTTGAGTACCTATAAATGATATCATTTAACAAATATTAAAGCTCTAAGCCTTGTACCTTCAGACAATAAGATTTTTTTGAATTTTTTCTATATGTATATATTGAAAATCAATGACCCCAGGGCTATTATTTGAACATTCTTGCTAGAGGTTCACTTCACAATGTTTCATGCAAAGTATCTAACCTCTAGCATTTGTCAATTGCTAGAAGAAATGTTTTTAAAGTTTTTACTATAAGTTTTTACTATAAGTTTTTACTATGTAAATATGAGGAAAATCAATGACCCCCGGGCCGGGCCGATTTCGACCCAAGGGCTATAATTTGAACAATCTGTAAGAGGTCTATCAGACAATGACTTATGCAAAATATCTAAGCTCTCGGCCTTTTGGGTCTTTACAAGAAGGTATTTTAAATTTTTACTATATGTACATATAGTTAAAATCCATGACCCCCGAGGCAGGGCCGATTTTGACCCCAGGGCTATAATTTGAACAATATTGGTAGAGGTCTACCAGACAATGCCTTATGCAAAATATCTAAGCTCTAGGCCTTTTGGGTCTTTACAAAAAGGTATTTTAAGTTTTAACAATATGTACATATAGTGAAAATCAGTGACCCCCGGGGCGGGGCCGATTTTGACCCCAGGGCTATAATTTGAACAATCTTGGTAGAGGTCTACCATACAATGCCTTATGCAAAATATCTAAGCTCTAGGCCTTTTGGGTCTTTACAAGAAGATTTTCTAAATTTATTCTTATAATTCCTTTTGGTTGCCATGGCAACCAGATTTCTGCATGGAATAAAATTCTTTGAACAACTTTGGAAGCCCTTCACCCAAGGATCAATCCTGCCAAGTTTGGTTGAAATTGGACAAGTGGTTTTTCACAAGAAGATTTTTTAAGTTCACTATATAATCTATATAACACACACACACACAAACAAACAAACAAACACACACACGCACACACAGGTGAATCGCTATATGCCACCGCATCGCAGATGCTGCGGTGGCATAAAAATAAAAATGTTAGACATGTATTATATTACTGTAATCTTTAGCTTTTTGTTTCGAAGTGTGATTTTCAGGAAGCATTAAAGATGGGAAATATTTTGTTTGTTCATATAGGTACCATTTTCTGACAATTTTAACAAGATGTTTTATTTTTATTAGTAATATTCATGCAAAAAGTATTAAATTCAACACTTGCTCTGCTGGAACCTATTTGTCACCAGGATATATATCCATGCCAGTTTGTACATATGTGCCATCTAACCAGGCTCTATACTGTTGGAAGCTCAATTTTTGTGTTTTGATATTGAAATCCCTTTAACTTTAAATTGACTGTTCCAGTTTCATAACAGGACAAATCCATTTCACAAATTCAGATGGTTAAAGGTAAAAACATCTAGAGCAATAAACACCATGTGAGTATTTTACTTGGACAAGTTTTAATTTACTGTAATTTTAGGCTGGTAGTAACTAGGCCATCAATCACAATACTTATAAATGCAAAGCAAATCAAAACATACTAGTGTAAAATTGTTAGTGCAATAAGTGCATAACAGAGATTTACCTACAGCATAAGAATCAGATCAAAGAATTTACAAAACAGTACAAATGATTTAAACATTCAATAATAATAATAATAATAATAATAATTCATATTATCTGCTAAGTACTATTTAACAGCTGGGCTGGTCTACATACATCAGTTCTGGTGTACATCTGAACACTCTGACCAGCCCATATTGCTTTCTATATATCAATATTTAATGTTAAAATCCCTTAAACCAACTAATGGAAACTTCATATTTCACAGCAGAAGATATTTAACTTTTTCCTAGCATAAAGTTAGGAAAATGAGAAAATATATTTCACCCACATTTATTGTTTCTTATAAAGAACATTGGCAGGTATGAGTCAAATACCCAACAGTTATTTATATACAGTCGAACTTCGTTCGCTCGAACTCGGAGGGCCTGTGCAAATTTGTTCGAGCGATCGGTAGTTCGAGCGAACCGAGGTTGAACAATAATTACATAGAACATAGGCTTAAGGTTTTCCAGCTTATATCGGTCAAATGATAAATACGTCAATATAACTGTTTTTAGTACATCTGTTTGTCGAATACGTCATTTTAAGAATTATTATCCTATTGAAAACACTATTAACGGTGCACGGTGTTAATCTATATTCATGTATATTGTAATTGGTTGAGTTCGATCGGGCGATCATTATCTAAACTGTGAACAGTGTTCAAGTTTATTATGGGATGAATTTTATTTTAAACAATGAATCGATAAAATATTAAAAAAACAACATTTTACAGCAGCATTTATTTGTAGTCATTTACTAAAATAAACACACGTACAAGTATCATTCTATAAATAGATAACACTGTTACAATTCACGTTGTAATTAAAACCATCCGGGTAAACGTCATTTACTTATTTATTTACTTTGGGCATTTCAAGAGTTACTTTCTTTTTATCGTTACTAAAGACGGCAAAAAAAAAATTGTATGATAACAAACAAATCGGTAAAACACCTTTTATTTTGTATCAATTAACCATAATTGCGTTTGTCACGATAACGAGGTGTTAAAAACATGTGTCGCCGACTGTCAATTATTTAGAACATGTTGACTTGTTGGAATTTTGCTGGGACTGGGACTGGGACTGGGCGATGAGTTCGAGCGAAGGGAGGTATTCGAGCGATCCGAGTTCGAGCGAACGAAGTTTAACTGTATACAGTTATATAACTTGTCAAAAATCTTTATAACATATAATAATAATGTAATACTGTAAAGCAAATTGCTTGATTAGGATAAAAACTCTGCAGAGCAAAATTAATGATATACACGTCATCATTGTCCAATCGAAATTGATGTTACAAATCATCATTGTCCAATCAAAATTGATGTTACAAATCATCAAAATTGATGTTACTAGCTTTCAATTGTAAATATGAAATCATAATACATGAAGCACTCATTGTAGTATTGTTCACAGATTTTCTTTGATTAAGGTATTTTTTTTGTTTAACCTGCAAAATGTCATTCTTTCAGTAAGTTCTCTTCTTAACACATTCATTAAAAACTTTTTTAACAGTTACAAAAACCCGTGAAATTATATATTTTCTTCATTGTCAAAAACCAACAGTGTCATTTAACGATTCTAGATAACACTTTACATAAGCATAACCAAAGACAACAAATAGAATTCAAATAAAATTTCTCAAAGTTCTCCAAGACTTTCACAGGAGATTGATTATTTCAGCACCAACTTGACCTGCATGAGTTCATTATTTAGTGATATATTACAAGTTTTCCTGTTTTTCATATAACAAAATTTTCACAGAAAGTTTGTGATATTGAACTATGATATAATTTTGTCATCATGCCACACATTTGCTGTGATTTCTTTGCATGTTTAAGCCAATAAAATGTTCCCAAAGTCTCTTTTACAACACATAGATAAATTTTTTGATAAAATGCAATGCTTATCAGCCTATTGTAACTTTTGCTTTATTAGTAAGTAATATGTATAAATATTCTAGTAGTACTATAATATATTTTACAGACTATGACTGCAGATATTCTTTTTCTTGACTACACAAGGATTTTTCATAAAATATCACTGTGACCTTGACCTTATGACCTCAAAATGAATAAGGATCATCTACTGACTGTCTCTGGGCAATATGAAAATTGCTATTAGTTATTACAAGTTTAGGCTAATTCCTTCTCAAGCATTTTACAGTCATTCTGACCTTGACTTTTGACCAAATGACCTCAAAACCAGTTTGGGTCATCTAGCCATAAACAGGCTATGGGAAAATGTCAATACTTATTTATGTATTTCTAGGTGTATGCTTTTCTTTTTATAGTTTTACCTTTATAACATAAAACTTACATAATCTAAATCTAATGGTCCACCATACATGCCAGATACAGGTAATGTTGCTGCACGTGGAGCAAGTCCATATCCTGGTTTTGGAGCTATAAATACAATATAACATAACTCTATAAATCAGATATTTACATGTTTTAACATAACAATATGTACAACTCATAAAAAAACTGTTAGAAATATCAATTTCATCAATGATTTTTTCATAAATTTATTTTAAACTTATGTCATCAAAGTACAATAACATCTAGCATCAAAATAACCAAAGCAATTTTCTTCTAAAGTAGGACAGACAATTTAAAGGTCATATGGCAACTCAGTTCCTGGTGGTTAAAGACCTCAGGTAACTCTGTGCATTAAATCAAGAACAAGCAAACACTCTAAGAGGTATTTACAGTAAAAGTAATATCAAAAGAATGCCCATAGAAATATAAATATAAAATAAAGCTTTTCTGAATGTATTTTTGTATTGTGGCAGCCATTCATTTTAGCAATATGTTTTTACTATATGTACGTCTACACGTTATAAATGACAGAAATTCAATACTTCCTGATATGTGTCCACATATTGCAATTCTTTTACACAACATTTCAAAGTATTGCAATAGTTCCATTTTACATTCATACAAACATACCTGGTATGTGTCCATGTATTGCAATAGTTCTATATTTACATACATACCTTGCATGTGTGGTAGGTTTTGCAATAAATTCTATATCACATAAATACCATTGTATGGGTGCCTATGTATTGCAATAGTTTTATATTACATACATGCCTTGCATGTGTCAATGTATTGCAATACCTAGTATGTTACCAAGTATTGCAATAGTTCTATATAACATACATACCTGGTATGTGTCCATGTATTGCAATAGTTCTATATAACATACATACCTGGTATGTGTCCATGTATTGCAATAGTTCTATATAACATACATACCTGGTATGTGTCCATGTATTGCAATAGTTCTACATAACATACATACCTGGTATGTGTCCATGTATTGCAATAGTTCTATATCCAGCACGTATATCACAATCATCCCATGATCTCTTTGTACGATCAAGGAATCGAGAAGGAGCTACAAATAAAAGGCATGTACAAGTAATAATACAAGTAATATTCAGGATCTTAAATACAATGTATATTAAATAATTGCTTAAGTAGTGAATTTTATTACTAAAACTTGCCATAAAATTGTCACTCTTGATTTTTGTAGGCTTTAACTTGTCAGAACAAATTTAGTCTTTTCAGGCATTATCAATTTGTTTGAAAAAAGATTTTTCATTAAATAAAGTTGTATTAACATACATGCAAACATTGGACTCTGATATCGAGTCTGATACTTTGGTTCATATGCTGCATTTGGCACACGTGAAGATTTCCAAGGATCCAATGCTTTTAAGGGTTGTTGCTTAGCAACCTCAAGTTCATTGTAGATGACTTTTCCAATTCCTGATTCATCCTTGAATTTCCTAAGTTCCTCTATTTCTCGTTTTATTTTTGGATCCTCGACAATCGGTTCATCATCGTCATCCTCCTCACCTCGACTTTTCCTTCGCTGACGTACTGGAAATATACAAACATAGATAATGACAAATGTAAAGGATGAAATATAGCAAGAACTGTGGGTAGGACAGCATACTTGACTATTTTCAGAGCTAGACTATTCTCAGCACTTGACAGTAAAACAAGAGCCTAAATAATGTGGAGAAGTTCAAACCGGGCCATAATTCTGTCAATATCCATGTAAGAGTTATGAGCCTTGGACAGTGACCTCCTATTTATACTTTCAAGTAAGTGCCTGAAGTTTCAACCTATTCCCTTCAGTAGTTTTTGAAATGCCCAAAATGCACGTAAAAACTTTACCAAAGTGTGATGCCAATGCAGACACATACAACTGCCCTGCTTGGTTTTATGAACTTAATGTTACTGATTTCTTTGGGAGGATATTTACAGAAAATGCTACTTGTCACACAAGTTACTGATTACTGGTTCACACAATCTTTTCCACTTGGATGGGTATAATGTCACTTTAAGGTCATTTAAGATTATCTCTCAGATTTTCAAGGAAAGGAAAATAGAACACCAGTCAGATTCCTAAATACTTGTATAGTAATCTGTTGAGGTTCTGATGTTAAATAACGGCAAGTGATGGGAGGACACAGGATGTAGCTGGCTAAAACAGATGACCTATAACAACTTGTTCCTGATGATAACTTTCCATCAGAATTATGATAGTGTGAAGCCTAAATATTATTTCTTTACATCCTCTTGGAACAAACAGACCTATGATCTTCCTAAATAATGTAATTATTTATTTATCACTGACATTTTAACAAATATTCACAAAAGAAAGATAAAATTCTATCTGACATTAGTTCTTCTTGTTCATTTGCATGATACAGCAACAGAATATGTCATCACTGTTAAACTATGGTATTTTACCCTACCATTGCATGCTGATTTATAATTGTATAACAATTTTATAGTGGAGAAACATTCCCTGAAAGTGTCAACATTTAATGCCTCCCATTATAATCTTGTTTCCTTCTTTTTTTTAAACATTTTTTCCAATAAATGACTGTAAACTGTCACGAAATACCAGAGGCATGAGTTTTCACGCATTAAAAACAATGCACAGTTAAAATGGAATACAATTAAATGGCTTGAATCTAATTGGCTTATAAAATTAATTGTACAAAAAAATATGCTTAATCTGTAAAAAGTATTTCATTTATAAATTACCTTTATATCACCTACATGCATATTTATAATTGCCACACTGCATTTGTTTACACAAGTGTCTCAAATTACTTTTTCACACCTATTGAGTCAACCTGACTCATTCTGTACTTTAACAGATATAAATTACATTTACATATAGTTTCTAAACAGCTATTTAAAAGTCAGGTTTCTCAAATTTTCTCATGTAAATACAAACTTTTTTGAAACCATAGTCATAGCAGATCAACAGTTGTAAAAGTATTTCAGTTTAAAGCAGTTTAAGATGATTTTTTACACATTAAGCATTGAACTACGACTGTAAATTGGTATAGAATTTTATTGTTTTATATAATAACTAAATTTAGAACACCCTTACTGTTGCAAGTATAACATACACTAAAAAAAACAAAGTTATATTTCAAGGTTGTACCAAACATATAACAATTGTCAAACATATTACATTTTTTTTTTTTGGTTTGTTTTTTTAAATACAAATGTATATATAATATATAAAGCAGTTTTCAACTTCTCTTGAAGAGTATTTGTCTGGATTTGTCTGGAAAATGTTAGCAATTCAAGTGCAATGTACAGTATTTATATTTATTTTTTCACAAATTTCCAAGGTTACAAATTTTTTCACAGACAGCCATGTCATACACTCCAGAGTTGCCATAAAACTTATAACTTTAATTGTTAACTTTCTTCAATGCAGTTTTTACACTTTAATGTAAGAAGATGCACTTTGTCAGACAAGTTATTATACATCTGTTATGCAGATCTAAGACAGTGTTTTTTGCAGTTCTCATTAAGTGTATTTATACAAACATTATTGTTTACATTTTTTAAGCATTTACCCCCGTGTAAAATAATGTATAAAGTCTAGTTGTAAAACAATTTAATTAAATTTACCAATTTTAAAGTAGATTTATAATCCCTAAAAGTCTGCACTAAATAATAGGTCTTTTTTTTTCATTACATTTTCAAAGTGAACATTATTTTTTTAGACTATTTTTATATATTTCCCGCAGTTTGTAGCCAAAGGGCCCAGGGGCTTTTTTTTAAAACATCTGCCCCAATGTAAGAAGACCCCAAAATAAGCATTGACTGCTTTTTCCCCTAAAACCCGGTGATTTGGTGAAATGGACTTTTTGCCCTGCTTTGAATTTGGAAATGTCCATTTACAGTTCTATGAACTTGAATATCAGAATACAAAAATTGAGCTATCAACAGTGTCAAGCCTGGTCAGACTGTGCAGGAGTACAAGCTGACCTGGTTCAATACTGGTGGCTCATCAGTTCAGGTTCAAGTTGTTTAAGGGTTAATGATACCAGTGTTTTGACCTTGAAAATGCTGGACTTAACAATGCAGGGTTCATACAGACACTCCATTCTGAAATTCAAGCACTTCTTTTTTTAAGCAAAACTTTTATCAAAACTATTAACAGCTTTTTATATTGCTACTAGTTTTAACCAGTTTCATAAGTTCCCCTACAGTTACCTAATTTACCTTAAGCAAATGTTATTATTTATTTTGATAAAAAAAATGGAAACTATCAACTTGGCACCTTGCACTTTTTTCATCCTGTTCATTTTCAAGTACATTTTCAGACAAAATTAAACATTTTTAAGCACTTTTCAAGAAAGTTAACAAATTCAAGGACTTTTAAAAGGGAATGAAATTTGAGCACTATTTAAGGCTATATATGAACCCTGCAATGGCATGGTCCATAGTCACAGCAGTGTAAGTCCATTACATAAAAAGTCATGGTAAATGTCTGTCATGCTACAGGAGATATATATGCATTTAAAGATCTAAATTCTTCATTATCATTTTAAAACAATGAGTAATCTACCATTAAATGTTTGACACCACACACTGAAATAGTTTTGTACCAGGAAAAGTTGCAAATAAAACTGATGTGTCATCATATAAAGACACACAAAATTACATTTGTAGATTTGACAATATATATTTAAATTCTGAGTCATTTGAGATACATACTTGAAAAGTTTGATTAAACATTAGATTTAGACTGCTGTAAAGTTTCCACTGTACTTTAAGTCAGTGTTATATGTATATATGATATGGGTGTCTGTGAAAAAATTTGCAGCCTTGGAAATTACGAAAACATATACAATGATAGTTAGTTATACATTGCACTTAGATTTCTAGCATTTTCCAAACAAATACTCTGGAAGAGAAATTTAAATCTGCTTTATGTATATATTATATATTCTTCTGGTCCTTCAAGGTATAATTTACTTTTAACATCTGTTAAGCTTCAAAATAATAAAAAAATAATTTCAAATGTCCTCAAATTTTAGTAATCTCGTAGAAAATTTCCAGGCACTTTTCCAGATGTATTATCATACCACAGATAGGGACTGAGTCTAATTCATACTCCGTGTATTAGACCCCCGGGGTCTATTTCTAGAGATTACCAAAATTTTCATTTGTTATCTGTTAATGCAGGATATACATTTCTGTGAAATTTCACTAGCGATAAAAGCAAAATTTTCAGCATTTCAATTTGAGATGAATGTAGGTGAATATGGAACCTGTATATGTTTATTTCAGGCACAAGCCCCGACCTAAAGGGAACCATTGATCAATTTAAGTTAAACTGATAAAAGAATACATTAAACAACCAATACTCACAAATTTCCGGCAGGATAGCTGCTGGCGAAGGAGGAGCTGGCCAATCATCACGTTCGATTTTCGCTATCTCTTTAGGAGGTGGCCGTTTTCCTCCAGGCCACATACTCATTCGAACAGCCTCCGTGTTCTTACGGACACCAGTTGCTGTGCTGGAACTCGGGCCTGGGGAGGAACTCCTTCTTGTCTTTACTACAGTTTTACCTTGAGCTGTAAAAAAAATTAATTTTCATAAATTGATAATTTTACCTAGGACAGTTATTATTAAATCCCAGCAAACTATTAGACAAACTTATATGATATTTGTGAGTCTATTTTGTAGTATATACAGGAATATAGCCTGGGTAATAAGAGCACTTTAGGGCATTCAACAAATGAAGGCATATTCATTGAAGAAATCAAATATAATCTTAAATTAGAGAAGAAATCAAACCCTATCATTAAACTCTTCTGCAACATGTTTTATATTAATCATCTTTATGATGCTATATATTCCGTTGGCGAGGGTAAACAAACCTAGACACACACACAGACATTCAATATTTCTGCTTACATACTGTTAAGTTCTTCAATGGGTTCAAAAGATAAAGAGTGGACACAAAATTGCTAACAGACGGACAGACAACCAAGTGCAAAACATTATATGCTGAAATTTGTTTTGGATGAATAAAACAAGAGGGCCATGATGGCCCTGAAGTTGCTCACCTGTATATAGGCCCCCCAGAGCGGGGCAAGTTTAAACCCCAGGGCTTTTATTTGAACAAAATTGGAAGACACCCATTAGAAGATGTTTCATGCTTAACATCTAAGGTCTAGCTGGTCAAGGTTTTTCTTTACACATATATTTAAAACAATGACACACCTGGGGCAGGGCCAGTTTGAACCCAAGGGCTTTTATTTAAACAATCTTTGTAGACACTTACTAGAAAATGTTTCATGCTTAATATCTGAACTCTAGCTATTCGGATTTTTTAAAAAAGATTTTTAAGTTTTTGCTATACACATATAAGGAAAATCAATGACCCCGGGGTGGGGCCAATTTTGACCCCAGGGCTTTTATTTGAACAAACTTTGTAGACACTCACTAGAAGATGCTTCATGCTTAATATCAAAACTCTAGCTATTTGAGTTTTTTCAAAAAAGATTTTTTAAGTTTTTGTTATACACATATAAGGAAAATGAATGACCCCCGGTGCGGGGCCAATTTTGACCCCAAGGCTTTTATTTGAACAAGCTTGGTAGACACTCACTAGAAGATGTTTCATGCTTAGTATCTAAACTCTAGCTATTTGGTTTTTTTCAAAGAAGATTATTTAAGTTTTTGCTATACACATATAAGGAAAATCAATGACCCCCGGGGCAGGGCCAATTTTTACCCCAGGGCTCTTATTTGAACAAACTTGGTAGACATCCTTTAGAACATGTTTCATGCTAAATATCTTAGCTCTAGCTATTTGGGTTCTTTAAAAGAAGATTTTTTAAGTTTTTACTATATGCATATAGGGAAAATCAATGACCCCCTGGGGCAGGGCCAATTTTGACCCCAGGGCTTTTATTTGAACAAACTTGGTAGACATCCATTAGAAGATGTTTCATGCTAAATTTCTTAGCTCTAGCTCTTTGGGTTTTTTAAAAGAAGATTTTTTAAGTTTTTACTATATGCATATAGGGAAAATCAATGACCCCCTGGGGCGGGGCCAATTTTGACCCCAGGGCTTTTATTTGAACAAACTTGGTAGACACTCACTAGAAGATGTTTCATGCCAAATATCTAAGCTCTAGCTCTTTGGGTTTTTTAGAAGAAGATATTTAAAGTTTTTTCTTTTGGTTGCCATGGCAACCAGAGTTCTGCATGGAATTAAATTCTTTGAACAATTTTCAAAGGTGACCACCAAAGGAACATTCCTGTGAAGTTTGGATGAAATTGGCTTAGTGGTTTATGAGGAGATGTCATTTAAAGTAAAAGTTTACGGACGCCGGACGGACGCCGGACGCCGGACGAAAAGTGATCACAAAAGCTCACCCTGTCACTTTGTGACAGGTGAGCTAAAAAGAAAGAAATGAAATAAAAATAACAAACTTTAACTTTAAGAAAATGTTAAAGATGTTACTAAAGATATCGAAAAGGAAAGAAAGAAATTTCAGGCATGAATTTTCTAATTACTTCTTTACTGGACTAACTGGAAAAGCAAAGTGAAAAGTGTGGAAAACTTTTATAAATTGTAGACAAACAAGTGCAGTAATAGTACATATACCAATGATAATGCCTGTTTATTATTTAAATACGGAAAAACTCGGTCATTCTTTAATATATGGCTAAAAGCTTACATAATTATTACTAGGAGACAAAAAACCTACCTAGTTTCAAGATAATGTAGCAGATATTAATAATAAACTAACAGGTAAGTGTCTAGCTAGTTGTTTCTGGTACTGATAAAATAGTAAAAAGTGTGGGTGTATGGCAATGATAGGTATTTTCCTCTCCCAATACTTGGTATGATCTTGTGACCTGACACATGCTATAATTTTGATAGAATAACCAAACTATCAAACTGTGCCTCTACGTCTTTTTATTTACCTATTATTACAAGTAACATGGAATTTGCAGGTGCCGAAAAAAAACCCACAAAAATATATATTGTATGTTCTTTATTCCAATGTTAATTTTCAACTTATCAGAATTGGTCTGTTCAATGTATCTTTAAGAGTAAAATGTTGATGCATAATTGTGAGTACAACTAACAACAGATTACTTATCATATTGGCTAGCATTAGGTTCTTTTCCTTGACATTTAAGACAGGGTAATGACTTATTCATAGAGGTACAACAGTTCAATAAATACAGTCTTACTAGACTCTACATAGTTGGCTGCTTAACTTAAGTCTGTTAGCACAAAATAATATTACAGTTCCAAACTATAGAAAATTTCAAACTATGGTTTGTTTCAAACTATGGAAAGTTGTTAACTATGGACACATCCAAACTTTTGATAGTTCCAAGCTATGGACAGTTTCAGTTCCTGACTATAGACAGTTATAAACTATGCCCAGCAGTTCCAAAATAAAGAAGTGGGAAAATCTATCAAAATTTAAAAAATGAAATGTTTTTCAGAAGCAAAGCAGCAGCAGAGCAGTGGATGGAGTACAGCAGAGCACAGTGCAGTCCATGGTGGTATAATTTAGTACAGTTTCATAAACTCCTGACATTTTCCTGAAAATCATATAAAATCCACCTAACCTGTGATATATCAGGGTTAGCCTATACATTTTAACAATCACAATATTGTATTATTATGTCTGAAAAAAGCAAAAGCATATATGTATTTTATGAATATAAAATATCTGAGAAAATGTTATATCTTCTTAATTTTCTATACCATGAGGAAAAGCAGAGAAGTATTGCTAAGATAACCCAATATTTGAAATAAATTTTGACACAAACAGGAATAAAAAGTGAATAACTACCAGACTTGCAAAATTTCATGTTTTACCAATAAAATTTGATATATGACCTCACATAAGCCAAAAAATATCTTTGTAAATAATATACTTTATTATCCGAGTACCCATCACCTATATGTAACAATGTTTTACAAAAGCCATACACTAGTGCAAACTTTTGAAACCAAGGGTTTGAAAAATCAGTCACAAAATCTTACATAGGTTCTGATTGGTTGATTACTTTATCATTTTTGAAATTGACCAATGACTGTGAACATAACAATGTCAATATTTCTAGTCTCAATTCCCTGTACACCTTATCATGTTAAACACTTAAATAAAATGCTGGTTCAAAACAGTGAAAACACAGAACGGATAAACAGACAGGCGGACAGACGGACTGACGGACAAATGTACGGATACATTTTTTAAGCTTACCTAATGACATCATGCCTCCTGAAATAGATCATAAACATGCATGAAATAAAAATAGAAAACATCAATCAATGAAATCAAAAGTAACAAGAAAGAAACAGATTTTATACTCATATTTTTTTCAGTTTTCGTAAAAATGTACCAATTAAAAAGAATGTTAAAACAAGAGCACTGCTAGGCGGAGCATTATATGCCCGAAAGTGATTTTTTTTTTAGTAAAGATGAAGCATATGTAAGACATGGGAATTAAATAAAGTATTACCTCCTTCAATTAACAATCCTCCTTTGAAGTTTCAATATTGTGGTCCAAATGAAACTAAAGTTATGCTTTAGGAACTGTTTTCAATTCTAAGGTAATAGTGACCTTGACCTTTAACCTTGTGACCCCAAAATCATTAGGGGTCTTCTACCCAATATGGACAATCATACCATGAAGTTTAAACACAGTAGGCCAAATGATACTTAAGTTATGTTCCGGAAACTGTTTTCAGTTTTAAGGTAATAGTGACCTTGACCTTGTGACCCCAAAATCAATAGGGGTCTTCTACCCAATAATGGACAATCATCCTATGAAGTTTGAACACTGTGGGCCAAATAGAACTTAAGTTATGCTCCGGAAACTGTTTATAGTTTTAAGTTAATAGTGGCCTTGACCTTTGACCTTGTGACCCCAAAATCAATATGGGTCTTCTACCCAATATGAACAATCATCCTATGAAGTTTGAACACTGTGGGCCAAATGGAACTTAAGTTATGCTCCGGAAACTGTTTTCAGTTTTAAGGTAATAGTGACCTTGACCTTTGACCTTGTGACCCCAAAATCAATAGGGGTCTTCTACCCAATATGGACAATCATCCTATGAAGTTTGAACACTGTGGGCCAAATGGAACTTAAGTTATGCTCCGGAAACTGTTTTCAGTTTTAAGGTCATAGTGACCTTGACCTTTGACCTTGTGACCCCAAAATCAATAGGGGTCTTCTACCCAATATGGACAATCATCCTATGAAGTTTGAACACTGTAGGCCAAATGGAACTTAAGTTATGCTCCGGAAACTGTTTTCAGTTTTAAGGTCATAGTGACCTTGACCTTTGACCTTATGACCCCAAAATCAATAGGGGTCTTCTACCCAATATGGACAATCATCCTATGAAGTTTGAATGTTGTGGGCCAAATGGAACTTAAGTTATGCTCCGGAAACCCAATTGCTTACGGACGGACGGACAGACGACGGACGCCAGGGGGTATAACATAATATGTCCGAAATTCTTTCGGGCATATAAAAAGATAACTTCAATATGTTATTGTATTTAATAAGGTGTCACAGCCTTCTTGATTATAAAACTAAGTGATTGTGTTTTATATAATATAATTTTTAGAAATCCTTTGCAGTTAAATATGTTCATCTGCCATATCCTATACTTGCAAAGCCTAACATACAGTCAAATTGATTTCTTCCATTACATGAAATGGAACTCCTAACTACCCTGTCGAGTTTTCGTAAATAAACTGATACAAATGATTCACATTCATGAACTGTTCATGTAGATGAAATTTCTTTATTACATTATTTGAACTAATTTTTATCAATACAGTCTTTTAATATGTTAAATGTCTTGTTTAGAATTTAATATAATTTTGTTAGACTAGTTTTTTATGTATAACCCTAACAACAATTTGTGGTGTAAAAATGTTTTTAAACTTAATAAACAAACTGTTCATGAACTAGGTTCATACATAGTTCATGATACCAGTTCATGGGCAAATCTATCAAAATTTGGAATGAAAAGGTTGTTATGAAGCAAAACAGCACCACCATAGTTGAGTGCAGTATAGTACAGTTTTGGATTCACCCTACAAATTAATTTTATAATTTCCTTATCATTGGGCAGTTCTGAAATTGGTTCATAAAATATTTTTGTCCAAAGAGTTGTTCATTAGCTATTCTGTATATTGCCTAGAATGAATTACTGTTTGTTTGTTTTTGGTTTTTTTCACCAATGACAGACAAGAGTAGAAAAGAGTTTTACATAAAGCTATATGTAACTCATAAAACTGTTAATAAAAATATAAAAAAATAATTCATAAAATAAGCAAAAAAGAGGAATCTACATCAAAAAATGCTATAAAAATTAACCATTTGAACAGAAATACACAAAAAGTTACTATAAATAACCATAAAATAGAAAATCTGTTTTTATACCTTTCTTATTCTTCAGAAAGCTGGGTGGTTCTTTTGAGTAGGAAAAGTTTGCTGAAAAAAAAATTGAAAGTAAACTGTCAAATATTTTATTTTCACCCAAAAATAGAATTTTAGGGAGGATTATTTCTCAATATGTATGTTATGTGTGTCATTCAAAAAATTATACTCACTGATAAATACGAAACTATTCACTGCTTTTTATAGATGCAAAAATTTAAGGATCAAAATTTAAATTCAATATTCTAAAAGATACAATATGTAATATTAACTTTAAAGTGGACTTTAAATAGCATATGTTAATTAAATGATAGAAATATGTATATGCTGCAAGATATGTGAGTTTCAAAATTGATTCAAACCATAATTAGAGTTTCATTTTGATCCATTTTGAAATTTGTATTGTTATTCATGAATTTAATACAAGAATATCTTTCTTCACAATTCAGCGCTTATTTACAAATCAAGTCATGTGAGTGACCTTTAAGCTTAAGACTTCATAAGCCCATACATATATACTTAGTATAGGTAAAACAAAATATATTGTCCTCCCCTCCTCTTAAACCTTACCTGGTCTAATAAATTGATTCACATTATTCTTGATCTTCGGTTCTGATAATGTGCGACCCCTAGTCATGTAATTCTGTGAGCCTTTATTGAGATAACTCTGGTTATAAAATTTCCCATAATTCACTTCTACCTTTTTCTCATAGGAGGAATCCTAGGGGAAAAAATATAAAAAGTAAGAATTGAAACATTACAAACAAAGTCATGATACTAAAGTATAACTATACTAAGCTGAATCTAAATTTTAGGGTTTTTAACAAAACTATTCTAAAAAAATTATTTATAACCACAGGTATTCGGCACATTTGCCATGCCAATAATGGTCAAATTAATTATCATAAAATAATCACCCCTTAATCACCAAGAACAAAATTACTATCCAGTACCCGTTTACATTCCTAAAAAGATGCTAAAATTTTGTTCTTGATGTTCAAGGGGTGGCATGGCATTATTGGCATGGCAAATGTGCCGTCTGTGTTTACAACTATATAAGAATTATGACATTTATTCAAGAAGTATGATATTTATTCAAACTTGCACTTCTGTGAAGTAGAAATCCAAGATTCAATTACAACAATCACCTGTGTGCACTTCAAAACTGAATTAAAAATGGGTGAGTGACACTATATGATACACACTATATCATAGCCTAGCAGACAGTTCTCAATATGTTCAAGTATCTACTGACAGACTTTAACTATAAGACAATAATCTAAATCAACATTAACAACATGAAACACAATTTAAACAAACTCAAACTTTAGAAGTGCTGGAATCTATGGTATCACTTTCTACATCAGTTTAAAGAACCAGGCCAACCTGCACATCAATGATGTACTAATAATATCTGTCATATGATGCTGTCTGACCAGAATCTATACTCTGACAACATGATACTAATAATTATATTATCAACAAATAATAATCATAACAATCCTTATTAAACAGAGCCAATAAAACAATGTTCCTATAATTATATCAACTGATTCTTACATATTATAAATTTCAACAAATTGTTTACCTATTAATATTAAACTTAACCTGCAGTTTGTAATATCCTTTGTCTAATAAAACAAGAAATAGATAATTATTCAACAAAGTAGATACATAAATCTTTTTTTGCAATAAGTAACCAATTTAATTTTGGTTTAAAAAAAATTGGCTAAAAAAACTATGAAGAGTAAATGCTACTGGCTCAGCCTCCGTAAGTAAGGACTATTAAAATTATAATGAGATGGTTTGTTTGTTTGTTTGTTTCATTTTACGCCTTTTCCCAACAGTATTTCAGTCATATAGGCAGGTAGTTTCCTAACCATCGTTTCTGGAGAGTTACACCAGTACTAGACTACCTTCCTCCGTGCTAAACTACCAAAGCATCTCCCGGGGATCGAACCTACGCCAGAGAGGTAACTGGATTAGAAGTCATTGACTCTAACCCCTAGACCACGGAGGCGGTATAATGAGATGGAACACAAATGAAAATCAATACAAATGGAATTATTTAATCAAATAGAAAATAAAGTATGAACAAGACAGATTGCTTTTGTCAAACCCCTCTTTTTAATTATATTAGGGTTATAAGATAAATTGTTCAGTGACAAACATTGCAATAAAATAAAAGCACTTCAATTTATAATGAAATACCAGGTAATTGAAATTAAGGAACACATCTTCAATATTTTAATGGTCAATTCCCTAGTGGAAGGAAGACAGAAGAGAACTTACACTAAGTTTGATAGAGTATAAAAAGTGTAGAAAGCAGAATATGATGAAATTGAGAGAACGTCCAAAGCAGTCAAACTTTTAAAATGTTGCAGGCTCGGTTTGATTGAGTCTGTTCAAAACTTGAATGTAAATTTGTCAATCTTAATCAAGTTATGTAATATACAGAATTTACAAATAGTTTGTAAGTTACATGTATTAAGTAGGTAACAACTTTATTTTAATGAGGATTACACATTCATTTTCCCCCTGATGATCCAAATGGGCCTCATCATTCACATCAGATCTATAGATAACAAGAGTTTAACTTTTCTCATTAAATCAGTGATCCAGGAATTCTGTCGATCATATTTATCATCACAGCAGCAGTAGAATTTCAGGATTTCCATCTAACAAGCACCTAGCCCATGATTTACCACCTCCAAACCCCGATGACAGATTGATATGAGCTTATCATAAACACAGGACAGGATTGTTACTCTATATAATAACATTGTTTGGCATGCAACCATATACAAATAGGCAGGAAATTGCCTCCTTATTCCTTCAACAAGCAATAATCAGAGAAAATCACAAGAAGCAATAAAAGTCTGGCAAATCAATGATGAATCTGTCAAGCGAGGGAGGCTGGCTAATATATGTTTATGAATTATATAGCAAGTTTATCCATGTGCAGTTCTGTAATGAAAACATGCTAGTAATCAGTTGATTACTGGAGGACTTGTGTATCAGATTGTAATGTTTGATTGACATTACCCAGCCACAGTGGGAAATTGGTGTGTATTTTCATGCCAAATGAGGAAATTTATAACTCAGGGAGATTTATAGGAAATGATTGTAATGTAATCATAGGGTTCCTGGCATAGTCTTGAAACTTTGGATGTATGATAACCTTAAGAAGACAGTATGCTAGATGAAATTCAATGCTCTTATAACTTGGGGCATTAAGCTTGGTCAAAATTTATATATCATGGGCTGATTTTTATGCAAGCATGGAGGCAGCCATCCCGAAGAATCTTTTTGCTGTACATTGTCTGAGGTGTGTTTTGTTGTTTATTTAATACAATATATATGTTTAAGGGATTATAAGAGAGATATTGCAGAGAAATTAAAAATCTATTCTTGAAAAAAACATGAAGGTCAAAGTCTATATAGACTTAGCTACCCCAGTGTCCTTACTTTAAATTCAAAATCTTCCAGAATTTCCATCGAAACAAAGATGAGCAAATAGTCAATGTTCTGCAAAAATGACATGCTTATATGGTATTCTTTGGTGGCAATATAGGCAAGTTAGTTCATCGAAATAATAGTTGTTTCTGAGGAGGGACATTGTGTACAGCAGCCAGCAGGTTCTTATTTGTAAATGAAAATGATACAATCTTCCATATACCCTGCCCTACTTCTGGTGAGAAATGAATTATTCATGCAATCATACAGGGTATTTTAAGAAATCATTATTTCCAAAATAATTTCTTTATATTCATGTAAAGGAAAAGTTTAATTAATGTGAAAAAAAATAGAATATTTGTAATTTTCGATTAATCAACTATCTTGCCCAGAATTGTAGAAACAAAGGATAAAAGTCGATACAAATCTAAAACCTCTATCCTTGTAACTTTAACAAGAATTATTCTCCTAGGAGAGGTTTCCACCCATAAAGAATGTAACAGACTCTCCATTGATCTATTTTCAACAATTTCGATTTGTAGGGTTTTTTTTGTTGCTGCTTTTTTTTTGCTATCGCCAATACTCTATGCTAACATGAGACTGCAATGAAATGGATTTTGTTTCCCAACAGCATTCAATAATTTATATCATACAAATATTTTGTGAAAATCAAAGTGATATTGACATTTAACCACATTGACTTGTAGCACTGACCAGTTGGCCATATAAACAACTTTCTTGGATGCCATTATTACATGTCTTGCTAATTCTGCAATGGCAATTTCTTTTAAATAATGATATGAACCAACATTTAATTTAACTTTTGTAAACCTGATATTTACTGTAGAAAATTAAGATTGTTAAAAAGCCTATGCTTCGGAGGATTTAGGTCAAACCATTACAATATAGGTTAACAGGCTTTAAAGTGATGATTAAAAGAGACCTATCTCTATGATAGTTCTGACATAAATGGAACTATCAAAGAAGAACTATTCACCTTTCAGTAACTCAGCTCAGAGCTTAGTAACAAACCAAAAATTCAACTTCAAAAACAGGGCACCAGCTTTCCTGGAGTAACAAGATATTAAAATTATAACTATTATTGCAATTGATTAAGCTGAAAGTTGAAAACAATGACTTTTTCATAAACTATGTGGAGACAAGTAAAACATTTTTATCCAGTTTATCATGACCTAGTAACTAGAAAATGAATCACGCATGCTGATATTAGTAATTTACTAGTAATGCTCGATTAACATTTCAACAACAGAATAATATTCTACAGAAAATACACTGTAATTCTGTGTGTCATATACCTGGATACCAGCCAGACTCTTGTTTTAGTGGTCTATGACCTAAACTCTCAAAAGTGTATTTATTGGCTACCAATGCGTTTAGATCATAAAACAGAAGTTCTCACATTCTCTGACAAATGTCTGAGATAACTAAAAGTGATACCATTATCTGTCAAATTATGCTAATGAAAAGAAAGGTGCTGATAATTCCTCAAGAATTGAAAGCGAAGTTAAAGATGATTTTTTTTACAAAGGCAAAACAAGTCTGTGTTGTTTTTTTTTGAGTGAGAAAAAATAGTAATTTAGAGAATCCTTTAAAGAAAAGCCCAGCTTCTAAAGATGATTAGGCCTATAATCCATATAGCTACAATTTTCAGTTTCCATTAGTTGCATAATTACTCACAACTCAGCTGGTAACTGTTATAGTATAATCTCTCCCCACACCCTAGAAAAAAATGCCTTGAAAAAAATGCCTCACACATACATACAGGTGAAGGACAAGAAGCTTTATATATGAGGTAAGGTAACATTTGTTGCCAGGTGTTACAGTTTCACCTGGATTTAATTAACTACATCAAACAACTTATCAATATACATTTACTTTACATCTTTTAATTATTCCATAAAATTAGCATAATTAAAACCTGAACAGCAATGTTAGAATGTTAGATAAAGGTTAATTTAACAATTTGAAAAGAAGGGCTTACTCAGTGATTTGTGCTCAGGTATCATACACTCATTTTTTTTAACTTAAATATTTAATACATTCATTATATTCATTATCATCACCCATTATCCTTCAGAAGTGTATTAAATACTTCATAATTTATGAAGATGATGCAAGACATGCATTGCCCTTTCTGTGTGACCTGGCTAAAACAAGCTTTATAACAGAATGTTAATGTCAAGGTCAAGGTCAAGATTAAAATTCACTAGACAGGATATAAACAATAAGAACAAGTCAATCTAT